ATCTTGCAGCGGATCGCTTCCCAAACAGTACGGCCAAGAAGCGCACGCCACGCAGCATATGAGCATATGCTATAGGATTTCTAAGAGCGCGCGTCACCTCTGGGGGGGGAGGGGGGGCAACGTACACTTCGTATTAGCATGTTGGGTGGCACCGACAGAACGGGGCTGGCGGGGGGGGGGGCCTTCTGAGGAGTCTGGGAGGCATCTAGCCCAGACCCACTCGGGTCCCGAAACTACCCGAGACGCGCACAACCCCTTCTCCAGGCGATGCGACCAGTTGTATGAGTACTCCGTCCACGAAGACAGATGGTGCGAAGAGTGCATGATCTGCGTGGCCCTGCGCTCCGCCGTGCCCCCCAGGAGCCCACGAACAGGTAACAGGGGAACGGTCGTGTAGTTCGCAGCCACCGAGAGAGCCGCGGGGTCTCGAAGACATCCCCGTGGCCCTCACCTCCGCCGGGCCTCCCAGGCAGCCCCTCAAAAGTTGGCGACGGCCGCGCGGTTCGCAGCCCCCGAGGGGGCCGCGGGGTCTCAAAAACATCCCCGCGGCCCTCACCTCCGCCGTGCCTCCCGGCAGGCCACAAAAGGTGGCGACGGCCGCACAGTCAACCTCGAGGCCAACGCGAGGACGACGAGGACGACGAGGAGGAGGAGGAGGAGGAGGAGGAGGAGGAGGAGGAGGAGGAGGAGAAGGAGGAGGAGGAGGAGGAGGAGGAGGGAAAAGGGGCCCCTGCGCGCGCCGCCAGGATTGGTGAGATTATCCAGGTTGCGCACCACGTCGTTGCCGACGAGCGTCGCCTCCGCTGGAGGAACCAAGAGGTACCGATACGATGCCGTCACTCCCTGGACCTGTCCCTGGGCGCGTTCTGACTAGAGTTTCGAGGCGACTCCAGCGGTGGCGACGAGGGCCTCCCAGGAGGCCAAGGAGGGCGAAAACGAGGGAAGGGTAGTTACCGGTATGGGTGCATTCTCCTCCTCTTAACGCCCCAGAGGTCTCCACCCTTTCCCTGGGACCAGTGTCCATCCTGACACGTTCTTCGACGGTCCCGGGGCCCGGCGAGAGCCCCCCGAGGCCGAAACGGGTGCAAAACCTCCCGTCGCGCGATGTCTTCGTGGCCCCTGGGGGGGGGTCTGGGATCGTTGCCGGCGAGCGTCGCCTCCGCGACGGGGGCGGGCTGGCCCCCGGCCGCCTGCGCCTTCGAGGCCGGCCGGCCCCCCGCCGGCTTCTCGGCCGGGGCGCCCGCGCTCCAGGTGCCCTCGGCGACCCACGGGATCCTCCTGGGAGGGGCGTGGGCCCAGGGGGGCTCTCCAAGGGCGACGAACTTCGCGATGCGCGCTGCACGAAGAGCGCGAAGAGCGCGAAGAGCGCGAACAGCTTCGCGCTCTCACGCCGCCCCTCGGGAGAGGAGGAAGAGGAGGAGGAGGAGGAGGAGGAGGAGGAGGAGGAGGAGGAGGAGGAGGAGGAGGAGAGGAGGAGGAGGAGGAGGAGGAGGGAGGAGGAGGAGGAGGAGGAGGAGGAGGAGGAGGAGGAGAGGGAGGAGGAGGAGGACGAGGAGAAGGAGGAGGAGGAGGAGTAGGAGGAGGAGGAGGAGAAGGAAGAGGAGGAGGAGGAAGAGGAAGAAAGGAGGAGGAGGAGGAGGAGGAGGAGGAGGAGGAGGAGGACGAGGGGAGGAGGAGGAGGAGGAGGAGGAGGAGGAGGAGGAGGAACGTCGCGCCCTCGAAGGCTCAGCTCCCGCCAAAGAGAAGGGGGCCTGAGCATCAACGAGCCGACCCCTATCCCCATGGGCATGGCCTCGGCCCCACTGGCCGATTTACCCCCCTACTTGAGCATCAAGGCTACTTCTTTCAGGTTTCGAGGGGCATATCCCCAACTGGGGTGGTACAATGGTGGGGGTCTGGACGGGGATGGGGATGGGGATGCGGGTCGGTTAACCAATAGTTAAAAACCCTCACCTTGCCGGAGGGTACAAAATCGACGTCTGAATTCCTGTCGAGGTTTTGGGCAGTCCAGATACAGGTCTGTAGGTCTGGAGGGTTTTTGTTCGCCCGACGGCGACGCCTCGAATTTTCTTGTCAGAATACCCGGGAGAGGCCCGATCGGAAACTTTCGATCGTCCCCAGATATCTGACGATAAATTAAGCAATCCCCGCGTTTTCCTCGATTTCGGCCTCTGGGATCCGTTGTGGGGCCGCATGGCCATCAAAAATGATCCGGGGAGAAGAACGACCCCCATGGAAGGGGTCCAGACCTCTCGTGTCGCGCATTGAAGAAACATATGGTCGTATGCCTTGGAACAGAGCAACGATGCAGGTCCACATCCTTCCTCCTCCCCCTCATGACATCCTCGCGTGCGTAGCGAAATAAACTCCCCGAGAGGGAGTTCCAAGGGGAAAACCCTCCCACCCACCCTTAATCGGGGTGACGTAAGACTCGGGTACGGGGGACTCGGGTTGGCTTGACGATGTCGTCAAGAAAATAACGAGACCCAATCTGAAACTTGACGCGAGATCCCGAGGCAGACATCCAACGAGAACTGGACCGTCAAAATCCAGGGCGCGTTCTCGTCAAAAAAACGTGGGCGAACCCGAGTTCTGGCGTACTCGAGTCGTGCGCTTCCCCGACCTAAGTCCTCCTAAAAAAAGTTACGGCCGGGAGCAGTTTACGGGGATGGACAGAACCCCCTTCAGTAAAACGTGGCTTAGGGAACACACCCTTGGGCCCAAACCCGGCGGGCGCGAGCCTGGAAAAGGAACGCCGCGGCGCCCTCTCGAGAACCGAAAACGGACAAGTCACTAATCGACGTGTCGGGGTGGGGGTTCCGCCCCTCCCCGAAGTTTGGCCACCCGCGGCCTGCACAGGGGGGCCCATCGCGCGGCACCGAGGGCCGACGAGGAAGACGGCGCTCGGGGCGAGCAGCCGGCCCCCGGGAAGGGGCACAGGCCCCCTGGGGAGCGACGCGGGCTAGAGCCAAGCGCTAGCTCCTAGAGGAAGGCGAAGGAGGAGGAGGAGGAGGAGGAGGAGGAGGAGGAGGAGGAGGAGGAGGAAGAGGGGGCGCTGCGAATGCATCACGACGTCGGATGGTCCCGACGACGCGGGAGGTGGGCGCGGGTGCCGTGGGTGCGCGCTGTGGGCCCCACCTGGGATGAGCGCCTCCGCGCCGACCTACGACATCCGCGCGGGCCCTCGAGGGTTTGCGCAGCGCCGACCGCCACAGGGAGGTCCCGGCCCCGTCCCCGGGGGCGGGCGCGCGACCCGCGGCGAGGGCCCCCCTATGGAGGCCGAGAGCTGGCTGCCCCAGGCCTGGCGCCGCGAGACCTTCTTGCACGGCGGGGGCGCGTCTGGAAGTCCTCCCTCCCCGGAGGTGGAGGAGGGGGGCAGCCAGGAAAGCCCAGAATCGAATCGACAAATCGGATCGGCGATCGAACTGAATCGGATTGGCGGAAATCGGCAGCCGAGTCGGGAAAAGTCGGATCGGCGGAAATCGGCAGGCTAGTAGGCCTCCAACAAGAAATCTGACTCCAAATCGGAATCCCAAGTCGAATCAAATCGGAATCGGAAGCCATCGAAACCGACTCGAATCGAATCGGAGGAATCGAAACGAACCCTGGGCAGCGGGCGGGTTGGTCGGTACATGACTGGCCCCCCCCCAGGCTCCTGGAGAGGAGCGAGGGCACCGCGGCCATCATGAGCACCCCCACGTCGTCGCAGAGCAGCTGCTTGTTCCACATGTTGAGCATCGCCTCTGTAGGGGGCAAACAAACCTACCTCGCTTTTGACCACCCTCGCTTCCAAGAGATACCAAGCGATGCCAAACTACGGCCTGTACTGGTCAGGCCGCTTGACGAGGAGGCGCGTGAAATGACTTGGTTTTGCCTGGGAGCGACAGCGGGGTAGGTAATTCACGCTCTGACTCTGGCAATGCTTGCTGGGACAGTGCCGTTCGGTCGACAAGTGGCGCCGTCCGTGTCTGAAGCACACGGCCAGCCCGCAGAATGAGGACGACCGTCATGGATGCAAGGGCCTCGCAAGGCCATGCCGACACTTTGCGAGCGGGGCGCGACCAGCGAAAGCGGCCGAGGATGGGCCGAAAAGGGTCACCTTGGAAAGTCGCAGATCATTGCCATGCTTAGGTCGAGCGCGTCCCTCCACACGAGGAGATTCAACAAATAGTCAAAAAACATCTGGGGCCGATGTTTTGCATTGTTGTTTAGAATCATGTTTGAATAGTTGTTTGCCTATCTTTAGTTGTTCGTCCGAAATCCCCCTGTAGGAGGACATGCCCGTGGGAGGAACTGTTTGAATATTTGGTTGACTGTTTTTAGTTCTTCGTCCGAGATCCCCCCTGCAGGAGGCCATGCCTGACCCAGTGCTGGGCGGGCTGACGGCATGGCCGTACCGCACCGTCGGGCCACGGGCCGGAGGCCCGGCTCCTGCTCGATGCCTGCAGGAGCTTGCTCGTGCCTGCGCCCCCCGCGCTGCCCCGAGGTCGGGCCTGTCCTCTCCTGCAGGGGGGGACTTTGGGACGAAGCATGACAAATCCTCGAAACGGCCAGCAAATACTAAAGACCCTTCCAACATGAAAAGTGGTCTAAAAGTCCTTAGAACGGCCAGCAAATCCTAAAAAACGTCCCCGGACCATCTTTTGACTAGTTTTGGATGGTCCTCCTGTAGAGGGGCACGCCCGACTTAACTGCTGTCAAGCGTTGTCTTAGGTCGGGCCTGTCCCCCTACAGCCGGATTTCGGGCGAAAACTAAAAAATGTGTTGTTTTCTTTTGAAGCAAAAAAAGCAAGGCAAAGACAATCAAAAATAGTTAACGAAATCGTCCCCATAGCATCTTTTGACTCGTCTTGGATGGTCCTCCTGTAGAGGGACACGCCCGACTTAAAACATCACCCACAACCCGAGAACGGCTCGGTCGGACGGCCAGGCCCTGGCCCCTCAGGAGCGAGGAGGCATCACGAACGGATGGTGTGGATAGCGTCAAGTCGGGCATGTCCCCCTCTGCAGGGGGATTTTAGATGAAAAATGAAACATACCCCCAAGAAATACCCCCAAGTGGTCAGACACAGTCAAAAAATCGTCCGGTGACTATCTTTTCACTCTTTTTGACAATTCCTCCTGTAGAGGTACAGGCCCGACTTAGGGGTAGCGTGGAGAATCAAGGCAGAGAGGATGCTCTGACGCTCTGGCAAGGCGACCGGATACGACAGAGTACGGCGCAAGCATCGGACTTCCGGGGGCCCGCGCGGACCTCGAGGGCGTCTCGATTCGGACTCCGGCAAGTTCGCTTGCATGGATTTGCCCCCCCCCCCCCCGCTCCCTCTCCGCCGCCTGTTCAAACAACACGGGGCCCGAAGTGCGTGAAGTGAATCCCGACTTGCGTGAACTCCAGATTGAATCCACGCCCACGCGGTCTGGGCTCCAGGGCGAGGTCCCGTGGACGCCCATCGGTCGGAAGAAGTGGATGGAAACATGAAATAGGAAGGCGGTGAAGTAGATTGCGCTTCCGCCCGAAACCAAAGTCGAACAATCCACTTTGGAGTCCCGAAACGGTGCGGTCACAGACCGTGCGGTGACCTTGAAATCCCCCAAGACCTCACCGCACGGTCCGTCACCGCACGGTCTTGGGACCCCGGAGGCCCCTGTCGCCCGAGACATCCTCGGAGAACGACCCGAGTCCCAAAACCGTGCGGTGACCCCGAATCCCCACCGACTCACCGCACGGCGTGGTCACCACCCCGTTTGGGGGCCCCAAATCCACGCGGTGTCAGAAACCAACGCCCGGGTCGTCGCGACACGATCTTGTCGTGCGCTCGTGCCGTGTTGACACGGCGGCGACCCGTCGGCCGCTTGGGATCGGCGGACCTCGAAGGATTTGAGCGAGGCTCAAGTCGTCAGGGTTGAACGAGCCACGCAGTGTCAGAAACCAACGCCGACGTCGTCACGACACGAACCTGCGCCTTGAAGAGGGAAGATTGAAAACCACTCGATCGTTGAAGTAGGATGGCGCCTAAAATAAATTGCGATATGGGAATCCAAAAATACCGACCTCCAACAACCGAAGGGTACGCGGTCGCAATATGCGTTCCGTGCGGGGCATGGGCATCCGCACAACAAACGCCCTGTACGCACGTAAAGGCCAGACCCGCGAGGCCGTGGATACGAACATGCTTTCCGCCCACGAATACAGTTGCCAGAGTCGCAGGACAAACTGTCTAAGACGAGACCAGGACGAGGATAAATCCGAGTGAGGATGAATCGAGAATCTCTGAGATCCGCCGGCTCTGGAGGAGGATGCATCGGGCGCCGCGGCCTTACCAGAGCGCTCCGGAACGCTCCAGGAGCGTTCCGGAACGCTCTGGAACAAATTTCTCCTCGTCCTAGCCCCGTCCAACTGCCTCTTCTTGGACCGGCGCTGGAGTTCCCTCCCCTGGCTGACTCCCTACCAGACCACCCCAACCCAACCCGAAGACCCGAATTTCGGGTTGGGGGGGGTACGGGATCCATATGTGTTTTCTCGATGTTCCCCGACCCCCCCCCCACTGGAAACGGAGGTCAATTTGAGACCTTCGGGTTGGGTTGGGGTGGTTTGGTGTGTGGTGACTGGCGCGCCGAGCGCGCCAGGAACGGGGACGGGGGCGCTGCTGGGGGAGCCCAGCGTCGACCCGAGGGGCCCGCTCGGACCTCCGAGAGCTCACGTGCACGCAGCCTCGCACCCCTGCAGGGGAGGGGGCAAACAGGCACCGTCAGGTCGGGCATGTCCCCCTACAGGCGGGTGTTGGAAGGAAAATGGAAGATAGCCAAACAATGCACAAACAACATCTGCTTTGCCTAAAGATAGACAAAATCGTCCACATACTATATTGCGACTATTTTAAGATTTTCCCCCTGTAGAGGGACACGCCCGACTGAAAATCACCGACACCGCTGCTCCACGACCTCTCCTGGGGTGCGTTCTGGCCAGAAAGCCTCGGGGGGAATCCGACCGCGGCGGCGGACGAGCAGCGGTGTCGGTACCCCGTGACATCCGCCGATCTGCGGGGGCTCTCCAGGACGAGCGGCGGTGCCGGTACTCAATGTTTTTCCTCATGCTTGATCGCAATGCTTTCTTTTCGCCGATCTGTGCTTTCTCTGTGTTTTCTTAAAACCACAGCTCCACTGCGCGGGTCCTCTGAAACTCTCCTGTCGGGGGCGCGCAAACATGGACAAGCGATCCATGGCTTTGGCGCGCGGTCGCCGAATCCATGGATCGGGGGAAGTGCCCTCCCCAAAATGCGGGCTCGGCGGCGGGAATCCGCGGTTTCCCATGGAAGGCGCCATGGTCCCCCATGGCCTCGGGCTGTCAAGCGTTGTCTTAGGTCGGGCCTGTTCCCCTACAGGCGGATGTCGGGCGAAAACTAACAAAAATGTCAAAAAAACAAATTACAACAGTCAAACATATCTTAAAATATCGTCCCAAAACTTCTTTTTACTGTTTTTGACCATTCCCCCCTGTAGAGAAACAGGCCCGACTTACCCCCGTGGCCTCCCGCTCTCAAGCGTTGTCTTCCGCTGACTCCTGCTGTCGCCCGTTGCCTCCCGTGGTCTCCCGTGGTCTCCCGGGGTCTTTTCTGCTGTCTCTCGCCGTCTACCGTTCTCTCCCGTGGTCTCCCCTCGTCTCCGCTGTCGGCATGGTCACTCGAGGTGTCTCCGCAGAGGCCTCCCAGGTGGGGTCGGAGCAGATGGGGTCGGAGGATCGCGCCGCATCGACGATACATCGGCGATGCATGGGCGATGCATCGGTGATGCTAGGGGGCCACATGCGAACCCTACCCCTACCCCCCACGATTTCTGAGGGGAAGGTGGGGTAGGGTTCGCATGCGGCCGCCTAGATGCACCGTCGATGCATCGTCGACGTCGGCGATGCATCGGCGACGTCGACGTGAAGCACATCGGGCCCCACGTCCAGCCGCATCGCCGATGCATCGGCGATGCGGAGCGATCCTTCGACCCCATCTGCTCGGACCCCATCTGGAAGGCCTAGAATATGTACCACTCTCTCCGCCACAGCGTGAAGAGCAATTTGGGGCAGCCTGCCGCAGGGGCGTATAGCTTCAGTCCAGGGCCTCAGAGGTTCCCGATCGCTTCCCCAGGGATAGGTATTTTGTCGTGTTGTCCCGAAGCCATGTCTGATGGTCCCGGGTGATGGGCGTGTTTTCCACCACCACCACCACCATAAGTTGGAGGGGGGAAGGAGGAGGACAAGGAGGAGGAGGACGAAGAAGAGAAGGAGGAACCCCTCCCCCCCCAACTTATGGTGGCGGTGGTGGAAAATAAGCCCATCACCGGGGACCGACAAAAAAAAACGCCAATGCCGGAATCAATAACAACATATCCTGGCGAGGGGCCCAACCATATGCAGTTGCGAGTGACGCACTTGTGCGTATGGTCTTCGGTGGAGCTCCCAATGGGGCCACGAAACGTGTGAGGGGTGTGCCGACATTGGTGGATGGAGCTCCCTATGGGGCCACGAAGCGTGTCAGGCGTGCTCCGACATGGGCGGGGGTCCGCATGTGGAAGGTGCCACTGGGGCCTTCGGAGGAGCTCCAAACTGGGCCACGAGATGGGTGGGCCTTCAGTGAAGCTCCCTTTGGGGCCACGAACAGTATGAGTAATGTGCGAACTTTGGTGGGGCGGTCGCATGCGGAAGGTGCCATTGGAACCTGAGGTAGAGCTCCCTATAGGGCCACGAAACGCGTTAACTGTGTGCCGAAATGAGCAGGGGTTCGCATGTGGACGGTGCCACTGGGGCCTTCGGTGGAGCTCCCTCTGGAACCACGAAGCGTGTAACTAACGGATGCGCCAGGATGAGCGGGGTTCCGTATTTGGACGGCGCCACTGTGGCCTCCAGTGAAGCCCCCTTATAGGGCCATGAAACGCGAGGGGTGCGCCGAATTGGGCGGACGCCCGCATGTGGATGGCCCAGGCGCCACTGAAGCCTTCGGTGGAGCTCCCTATGGGGCCACGGAACGCGGAAACGTGTGAGGGTGTGTCGAAGTGGGCGGGGAACCGCATGCGGACGGTGCCAGTGAGGCCTGCGGTCAAGCTCACTATGCCCTATGCCCTCTGGGGCCACGAAGCATGTAAGTGGTGCGCGCGGGGGTCCGCATGTGGGGACGGTGCCACTGGGGCCTCCGGTAAAGGCTCACTATGCCCTATGCCCTCTCGGGCGCCACGAAGCGCGTGAAAGTGCACCGGCGGGGTTCCGCACGTGGACGTTGCCACTAGGGTCTCAGGTGGAACTCCCTACGGGGCCACGAAACGTGCGAGGAGTGCACCAAAATTGGCACAATGGCGGAAACACGGATATAGGAGAGGGGGAAGTGAGGAGGAGGGAGCTGGGATGCTGGGCGCTGTCTCCTCAACGCGAGGACCCAACAGCACAGGATAGTTGGGACCTACAAGTTAGGAGAAGGAGAAAAAATATAGTCGGAGATTTCGGGTATCTGGGTAAACCAAAGAGTACGCATACCGTTAATTCCCTGGGCATCTCCCTAAGTGCGCTCTGACCAGGAGTTCGAGGCGAATCCAACGGTGGCGACGAGGGCCCCCCAGGAGGCCGGGAAAATATGGAAAACGAGGGCAGGGTAGCAATATGGGTACCTCTCACCTCTTCATTGCGCATAAACACAGGATCCACCATACATCTCGTTCGAAAACACAACAAATATCTTAAACATTTTCAACTGAAGCGTGCCGACCTGAGTTGAGCGATGCGCGAATTCAACTACGACACCAGCGCCCGCCCCGAATCAAGGCTCTCGCATTGACGCTGGTCTCGCGCCGTGTGCAACACGGACGGACTACGCGCTGTCCTTGGTGAATCGCTACTGTATTGCGCGCGCCGCGAATGCCAGCGACGCGCGCAAGGCTCGTCTCCCCGCCCGGCGGCCGCACGCGCACCTCGCGCTTCGCCCGCAGCGGCGCGCGCGCGTGCCAACCCCGCCGCGCGCGCGCCGTGCGCGCGCGACATCGGTGCGCGCGCGGAATCCCAGCGCGGGCGCGAGCCTTCCGGTAGCGCGGAACGCGCGTCGACAAATCGCCAAATTCGCTCCGTTGTCAGTTTTCCCGATGAGTGTTCACTGCGAACGGCACGTCCGCAATTGTTGTTGCACGCCTATCAAAATCATTGTGTCGTCGCCACCTCGGATGTTGTCGCGGCTCTGCGCAACCAGCGGTTTGTTGTGTCGTCGGCAGTTTTTTCTGTCGTCTGAATTCGTCGTCGGCCTCCTTTTTTATCGTCGGCCTTTTGCTGTCGTCGCCCCTTTCGTTGTCGTCGGCCCTTTCGTTGTCGTCTGTTACTTTTGATGTCCGTCACAGTCGGATTCAGAGTTTTACTCGGGTTCTTCAACATGTTTGGGGTCCTTCGCGGCCGGCTCCTTCTTCCATACCTTTCACGTTTCGTGCGTCCCCATGACTCCGTCTGGAGACGATGCGGAGGCGTTGTCCATGGAAGTTCGATTCTTGACCCTCGCCCAACGCCTGGAGAGACCGTGCACGACCGCTGGGGGGCTCAACGCCCACAGCGCTTGAAAGGAGTGGCGGGCACCGCGGCTTGATTCCTAAAAAACCAAACGAGTGTGATCCAAAAACTGCTGTCGATCGTCGTTTTGTGATCCAACGGAAACGGAGGGAGTGAGACCTCTGCCTTTTGGGTGACCCAAAAAAGGGGTCCAGCTGAAAAGGGGTGGTGCAATAGAGTTGGGGCAATTGTTTTGCAAATGTATTGCGCCGGAGAATTATACTGCACTGTATTGCAAGTAATGTATTGCATGCGAAAAGCCAACAATACATTTGCGCCCCGGAATGTATTGCACGCCCCACATGTACTGCAACCCGCAAATCTAATGCTCCAAATCTAGTGCACCACCCCCTGGTCGCTGGACCCCCATTTTTGGGTCCTCCTCATCGCAGCCTCCGCGACCAGCACCGCCGTGAGCAGGGCCACGTGGCCCAGCGAGAGCTCCCCGGCCCTCGCCCCGTCGATGACCGCGCGCAGCACGAGGGGCTTCACGCCCGCGGTGAGCGCGCCGTGGGCCACCGAGGTGGCGAAGCCCGCCGCCAGGTGCCAACGGCACAGCCGCCTCATGACGGAGAGGATGGACCGCCTCTCGCCTGCGAGCCCCGCCTCTGCAAGAAGAGAAACCGACACCCCCTCGCGCCGGACAGAGACACAGCGACGGGCGTCTCTGGCACTGCTTGCGGCCCCCTGTGGCCCTTCGCTGGGCCCCAGGACCGTCCAAAGACGACTCGGGATGGAGAGCTCGTCCCCAGGGTGGGGTCCAGACCTCTGGGGGTCCACGTCACGAAAACATCACGACAGGGCTCGAGCCAAACAGTGTGTCGCGTTTTCGTGTCCGTTTCGTTTCCCGTTGTGCTGCCCTCGTCCAGGCCCTTGCCGCGAAACGACATCATACGAAGAGGGTCCACGACATCGCCACAGCACCGTCTAGCTCGAGTCCTGCATCCTGGCGTCGGGGGCCAAGGAAGCCGCACCGACCCAAAGCTTTCGAGGGACCGCGCGGCTGGATTGGGTGGTCGGCGCGGAGGTGCCCGTCCAAGGGGGCCCACAGCTCAATACCCAAGAAATCCGCGCGGACCTCCAAAAGCCTGTCTACGCAATACAGTCCAAATTTGTAGTAAGGACGGGTGGCAAGGACGCAAGACCCTTGGAGGCCGACGTTGGGATTTTTTGGGCGGCGGGCGGCACAGACCCCAGGGACGCAAGGGGTACCCTAACCCAGGGAAAGGCGAGTGAAAATGGCAAAGACCGGGCCGCAGATGCAAGGGCGAGGGCACCCTGGATGAGGGCGCGCGTCCTTACCAGGCGCGTTGCCTGCACCAGTGCTTCTACTTCGGGCCTCGCTGCCCTGGCTGTCCGACAGCAGCCGCGCCGCCTCGGGCGCCACGCACCCCGCCCGGAAGAGGGGGTCCTGGGGACAGGAGACAGAAACCCGGGGGCTTCCCCGAGACTCCGATGCAGTCGGGGCGGACTGGAGAGGACACGCGAGAGGACACGAGGCCCTTCCGATGGCCACGCTGCAAGTGGAGCGTAGAGGGCATGGGTCGCGAAACACAGGTCACAAGGGTACCCTTGTTTGTGCAGGGCTCACCTACCAATCAGGCTCGACTGCAGACCAGGACGTTGGCGCTCCCGAGACGACTGCAGCCGTGGATCGAAGCATTCTCCCTCCTTCGTTCTCTCCGGGTGCAGTCTTCGATGTCATGGCCGACCTGGCCTGGAGGAGGAGGAGGAGGAGGAGGAGGAGGAGGAGGAGGAGGAGGACGGATGAGGAGGAAGAGGGAGGAGGAGGAGGAGGAGGAAGATGGAGGAGGAGGAGGAGGAGGAGGAGGAGGAGGAGGAGGAGGAGGGAGAGAGGAGGAGGAGGAGGAGGAGGAGGAGGAGAGGAGGAGGAGGAGGAGGAAGATGGAGGAGGAGGAGGGAGGAGGAGGAGGAGGAGGAGGAGGAGGAGGAGGAGGAGGAGGAGGAGGAGGGGGAGGAGGAGGAGGAGGAGGAGGAGGAGGAGGAGGAGGAGGAGGAGGAGCCCGAGCTGATGTGGCCTGTGGATCGCGCCGCACCGGTGATGCGTCGGCGATGCATCGGCGACGTCTGGACGCAGAGACTCGCGCTCCAGATCGCGCCGTATCGCCGATCCGACTCCCATCTGCTGCAGCCCCAGTCCAGAACGTCCCAAGCTGCTATTTCACAGCGTGGCTCGCCAGGGGTCTGGACCCCGCCCCGGGCCCCGGGGAGCGGAGCGGCTTGTCCTTCAGGGGGCTGTTTTCTGGACGGCCGGGGGCCGGGCAAGGGCCCCGGGAGGCCGAAAACGGCCAGAAGCCTTCCGTCGTGCTCTTGTCCACGACGCGATGGCGTCATGTCCTGGTTTTGAGCGGGCTGGGGAGACGCCGCTGCTGCTGCTCCCCAGACCTCTCAGGCCAGGATCCCTTCGGCGGCGGACCCAGCCGCGGCGCACCGCACCACCCCTGGAGGCCTCACAGCAAGGCGACACCGAGGGCAGGGCACCGGGCATCGATGCTTGAACAAAACAGTACCGCTTCTCCTCTCCTGGGGGGTCTGACCAGGACTTCGAAGCGAATCCAGCCGTGGCGACGAGTATAGAAGGCAGCGGTATCGGCATCTATCCCTCCGCTGGCTTCCACTCGGGGGAAGGCGGTTTGAGACAGTGTGTTTGGACGGGTTCCGCAGGTTCTGCTGGGGCGACGATCGTTCGCGGCTCCTTCAAATCGTGTGGACTCCCGGTGTCTCGAAGGGCCTTTCCTTGATTATCCGCTCCACGGGTCCAGTTTGGGGATGTCACCCGGCTGCACCGAGCGTCGCCTCCCAAGCGCGACCAGCGCCCACACCCACAGCAGCAGCCGCCGCGACAGGAGGCCCGGGTGCCCCGGCCCCTCGCCTGCTGGCAACCCAGATCTCCGACGAGATGTTTTCTCAATCCTGGAGCGTTTCCTGGGACTTCGGCCTCTGAGGCCCAGCAGCAGGCCCCGGAGCATGTTAAAACAAAGATCCAGGACGAGAAGCTATACACCCGGGAAGCGGTTCGGACCCCTGGGACCGCAGGTTACACGATTCATATCGGCGGACGTCTGGGAACGTGAAGGTCCTGAGGGAAGTGGGTCCTGGATCCTGGGGTCCGGAGCTCCAGCTTGGGAGGGGCTCGATGTATACACCACGTCGCCTGGTCGGCCAGGAAGCTCGGTGTATAGACGCCCCGGCTTCCCAACCTGTGCGATGCTGGAGCGTCCAGACACAAAATTCCTCCGTTGAGCTCCGTGGCTCCCTGGCTGGCCAGACGACATGGTGTATACATCAAGCCCCCCATGACAGCTCTGACCCCATCTCATCCGCGGATGTCAGGGTCATGCTTCTTTGCATCTTGCTTTGCATCAGCCAGATCGGCGGATGTCAAAGTTCATTAGTTGTTACATCTTCCAGCCTAGCAAACTTGCGCACATCCAAATGTATTGGATACCAGATTTGTTCAGTCGCGATCGGTAGTGACCGATCGGCACTCCTAATCGGTTGAGACCGGTCGAGTCCGATTCCAAAATCGGTCGCGACCCGTCGCGACCGATTAGCCGCGACCGATTTTGAGGCACATCGGCAAAACAAATCCTGGCATCCAGTGATTCAGGAAAGATACAGGAGAGGCAGCTTCCGGCTCCTGGGAGCCCCTTCGTAGAGGCTTCCTGCATGGGGTCCGAATAGATGGGGTCGGAGGATCGCGTCGCATCGCCGATACGTCTTCGAAGCATCGCCGATGCATTGGCAATGCATTGGCGATGCATCGGCGCCGTCGGCAACACATCGGCGACGTCGGCGTGCATAACATCAAGCGTCGCATCGAGCCGCATCGCCGTTGCATCGGCGATGCGGCGCGATCCTCCGACCCGACCTACTTTCCGTCACACAAATATCTACACACTGACACCCTCCAATGCATCGTTCCTGGGCCTCTCAGAGGAAGAAGGCGGGGTATAAGTCACCATTGGGAGCCACGGATTTGATACACCGCCACACCTCCTGAAGGTAAGTGCCGAGCTCGTCGGAGGGCGTCTCTGTATCTGTTTTTGTGGCGGCTACTCCGACTCCAGCTGGGAGGCCTAGACTTAGGTCGAGCATGTCCCCCGACAGGTGAATTTTGGACGAAAAATTAAACATGCACCATGTATGTTTTCTTCTTTTTTTAGAAACAAAAAAAGATATATATATATATATATATATATATATATATAATATCCCCAGACGATGTTTTGACTATTTTCGAATATTCCTCGCCAGCGCGCCAGCCGCGTCGCAGCGAGGGCGTTTGTATACATATTATATATATATATATATATATATATATATATATATTATCCGCCGATCCGGCGTGTGAGTTTCAAGGAGTCTCAGCTACAGCCTCGAGGCTGAGCCTCAGCCTCTGGGGGGGTTGCCGGGGTGGCTCTGCCGGGGAAGGGGGGGTGGGGGGGGGGGGTGCGAGTTTCCGGCGGATGCGTTTTTTGACACCCCTCACAAGGATCGTGGCCTCCGAGGGGGTTCCGAACTCGAGTACCACCCCTCCCGCACCAAGAGGCTCCGAGGAGGCCTCCAAGAGGCCCCAAGGGGCGCAGAAGAGGCCCCCAAGAAGCCCCAAGAGGCTCCCAAGAGACCCCCAAGAGGCCCTCTAGTGGCCCCAAGAGGCCCAAGAGGCCCCCAAGAAGCCCCAAGAGGCGCCCAAGAGGCCCCCAGAAGTCCCAGCCAACCACGAGATCCCAACCAGCATCCATGAGGCCTCTGACCCACCACCCACGCACGGTGGCGGGATAGGCCGACGGCCACTGGATCCGCCGCCCCCTGTGGTCTTGCCACAGGGGTGCACGGCGTGCTGGATGTTTCAGGTTTTGGTTTTGGCTCTTTTTCTAAAAGAACTCCCCAGTGGGCTTCGGCCCGTCCCGCCGGCCACCCGCAAGTTTCCGAAAATCCATCTGTCAATGCCTTTGTTGCCCCAACTTGGCCCAAGATGGCCTCCAAGACGGCCAAGATGGCCCAAGATGGCCTCCAAGATGCTTCCAAGACGGCCAAGATGGCCTCCAAAACGGGTAAGATGGCTCCAAGATGCACCCAAGACGGCCCAAGATGGCCTCAAGATGGTCTAAGACGGCCCAAAAGGCCCGCAAAAGGCCTCCAAGACGGCCCAAGAGCCCTCCAAGACGCCCTCCAGGAAGGCCCGAATAGGTTAAAATCATTGATTTTCCTTAGGTTTTTCAAGGATTTTGGCATGTTCTTCTTTTCAGCTCTCCGACGGCCCAAGACGGCCCAAGAGGTCCCCAACATCGCCCCAACAGCACCCAAGAGGCCTCCAAGATGGCCCCATGACGGCCCAAGAGGCCCCCAAGAAGGCCCCAAGAAGGCCTCAAGACGGCCCAAGAGGCCTCCAAGACGCCCAAGATGGCCTCCAAGACGGCCAAGATGGCCGAAGATGGCCTCCAAGATGCCTCCAAGACGGCCAAGATGGTCTCCAAGGCCGCTAAGATGGCCCCAAGATGCCTCCAAGACGGTCCAAGATGCACCCAAGACCGCCTAAGATGGCCTCAAGATAGCCCAAGAAGGGCCCAAGAGGCTCCCAAGAGGCCTCCCAGACGGCCCAAGAAGCCTCCAAGAGGTCCTCCAGGAGGGCCCGAAGAGGGCAAAATCATTGATGTTCCTTAGGTTTTTGAAGGATTTTGGAATTTGCTTCTTCTCGGCATTCCGACGGCTCAAGACGGCCCAAGAGGCCCCCAAGAGGGCCCCATGACGGCCCAAGTGGCCTCCAAGATGGCCCCAAGAGGGCCCCAAGACGGCCCAAGAGGCCTCCAACACGCCCAAGATGCCCTCCAAGACACCCAAGATGGCCTCCAAGACGGCCCTGGAGCATTCCAAGAGGGCCCCAAGTCGGCCCATAGAGGCCCCCCAAACGGCTTCCGACGGCGTCAGACGTGCCAGGAACCAACCAAGATGGCCGAAGTTGGCTCGAAGCTGGCCCAAGACGGCCCAAGAGGCCCCCTAAGAGGGCCTCCAGGAAGGCCAGAAGAGGCCAAAAACATTGATTTGCCTGAGGTTTCTGACGGATTTTGACATGTCCTTCTTCTCGGCCTTCCGACGGCCCCCAAGACGGCCCAAGAGCCCCCAAAGATCGCCGAAAGATCGCCCAAGAGGCCTCCAAGACGGCCAAGATGACCTTCAAGATGCCCACGTGTTCCCCGAAGGCTTTCCAAACCGACTCGGGGAACACATGGTCCGATGGCTTGGCAGGTCTGGCCTCAATGTTCGGCCACATAGGCGCTTCCAAAAAGGCAGGGGGCGGCGGTGATTCGCCGTAGGCGTCTTCGATAAATGCTGAGTGAGAGGAGGGGAGGGAAAAAGAGAGGAGGGACGAGAGCGAAGAAGGATCACATCAGTCGGAGCGCCCCGGATCGGCGGCACTGGCTGAAGGCCACTACAATATATATATATATATATATATATATATACATATACATATACATATACATATACATATATATATAATTATATATATATATATATATATATATATATATATATATATTATATGATCGCCCACCCCCCTCCCCAGCACCCCCAAACCACCCAAATCGCAAAACCTTCCTTGATCGTTCGCTCGTCGTCGTTCTCCTCCTTCTCCTCCTCCTCCTCCTCCTCCTCCTCCTCCTCCTCCTCCTCCTACGCTGTGTTTTCCAGCTTTCCCAGCTTTCCCAGCTTTCCCAGCTTTTCCCAGAGACTACCCGAATGAAAAACGTTGTGTTTCCCAGCTTTATATATGTATACACTTCTCGATGTGCGCGTGTCATCCTTGCGCAGGAGCCATGCTAGTCTTCTCTGCATCGTTCCGACTTTGACGGATGGTCCCCGAAGAAGTCCGCCGTAGCGAGGGCTCCTCATGAGGGGCAACGATGGGGGGGGACTGGCACAAGGGGCGACACATCGACCTGAAATCGGCGATGCCTCGCAGATAGATCGGCGACAGTTTCCAGATAGCGACTCCGCACGTTCCTGGGCGGGGCGGGGCTATATCAGACCCCTGTCCGCGATCAATGGGCGACTTTGGGGGTCGATGCACTCCGCAGGATGCCTGCCCCCCCTGCACTCCTTGCCACCGATACTTCGCCCCGAGCCGTCTTGCTGACAGGCCGCGGGGCCCGTGGCGTGGAGGACCCCCGCGAGGCCGAGTAACGTCGCGAGGAAGCTGCATCCTCGCGAGAGAGAGCATGGCCAGAGCCCCGGGCCCGGTCTCCCCGCGGCGCTTTTTACAGCCAGCTCGACACGTGGTGGCCCCGGGGCCCGGTGTAGGGCCCCACAAGACCGAAGAACGTCGCGAGGAAGCTGCAGCCTCGCGAAAGAGCATGGCCCGAGCCCTCGGCCCGGTCTCCCCGCGGCGCTGCTTCAGCCAGATCGAGGCGAAGCCAATGGCGGCGACGAGGGCTCACGAGGAGGCCCAGAACAGCGGACACGAGGGAAGAGCAACGGCGCGGGCACCTCCAACGAGATCCGACGCCGCGGAAGAGATGCAACATCGCAAAAAAAAAGCGACCGGGGCCGCAGGCCTGATGACTCCGCGTCATTCTTCGAGCCGGATCGGGCTACGCGGTGGCCCTGGGGTCCGAACCCGGGCGAGGAGGCCTGGTGTGGAGAACATGCGGCGCCCGCACATTCGAGACACGAGCAGCTCGGAGCTCCGCGCAGATGGATTGGACCTGTGCAGGCCCCCCCTCGCTCTCTGGCGCGCGGAGCGCGCCAGGGGTGGCGCTGGAAACGCCGCGAGTTTGGACGCCCGCAGTGGGTACGGAAAAAATTGCAGAATGCCCAGAGCAACTGCTGTCCAAAACCAGGGGGGGGCCGCTGTTGGGGGAGGCGGGTTTTCGCCTTCAGTGAACAGCGCCCGCGGCGGCGCGGACGGCGAGCCCTGTCCCAAAGTGAACAGGACCTGCGGTTGGGCATGGGCCCCGCTCCCTGGAAGGCGCAGGGAGGCACATCGAGCAACACACGTTCCAGGATTCCGTGTGTGCTGCCATATGTCATGCCCGTACTGTAGTTTTACATCAGTTGTCATGTGTGTCTGTGTCCATTGTCCCTCCTGATTCTTTTGGGGGGCCCCGCTCCCTTGAGGGCACGGCGGCCTGCGGCGCCCGGGTCCTCCTGCCCCGCCACCAGCAGCCGCGAGGGCGGGCCGGCATCGGCAGGGAGGCCCTGCTGGGGCTCCTCGGGGGGGGGGGGGGCAGTGCTGCAAGCAAGGGGCCCGGGGGGACGGACGGACGGACGGACGGAGCACAGCTCGCTCAGGGGTCAGAATGCTGTCCCCAGAACTCTTCTGGGGTGCGTTCTGACCAGCATCTCGAGGCGAGCCAGCTGTGGCCGTGAGGGCGCCTCACGATGGCCGCAGACGCCCACCAGAACGCAGACCTCGAACTTCAAGGGGCGGTTGACGCCGCGTGAATCGTTCAGCCTTGCACGATCGCTGCTCCCTGAGAATGCAGATCGCTCGGCATCGGCCGGCTCTGGGACACTGGCAACGTCCACATTGAACGCCCGCGCTGGGGTCGCCGCCGCGTCAACGCAGAGCAAACCCACCGTGTACGCGTATACCAGGCGGGGCAAGGACGAGAACCAATCCGTTCCAGAGCGTTTCCAGAACGCTCTGAGAAAGCCGCGGCGCTAGAGACATCCTCCAAAGCCGCCGGATCTCAGGGATATTCGATCTATCCTCACCCGATGGTATCCTCGTCCTGGCTCAGTCTCAACATCCTCTTCGTTGCGTTTCGGGTGTGACTGGACGTGCCCCTGGCCGAAAGTGCCCCCAGGACTTCCAAAGAGGCCCCCACTCGGGCGGGGCGAAAGGGGGGGATAGCAAAGGGGGGGTTTGAGAATCAGCTCACGCAGCTGATTTTCCCGGCGCCTCTCGGCGCCGGGAGGCGCCCATTTATCGAGGAATGGGCCCCTCGGTGGGGCCGAAACCAGCTGCATGCAGCAAATTTCGTAACCCCCCCTTTCCCAATCCCCACCTTTCGTCCGGCCCGACCCACGGCCTCCAGAGCACTCATCACGAGGCCCGGAGAGCCCCATAGGCTTCAAAAAATGGGCCGAAAAGCTGGGGGCACCTTGGGCCACGGGCACCTCTGGCAACCCCCGATGGCTATCGCGAATATCCTCGTCCTGGCTTCGTCTTAGGATCCAGAGCGTCCTGGAACGCTCTCAGAACGTTCAAGAACGATCCCAGAGGGCCGCGGCGCCCGAGACATCCGTCAGAACCTCTGGATCTCAGAGGTTCTCTATGCATCAGAGGAAACCAAATGGTACCCATACTGCCACTCTCAGGTCGGGCATGTCCCCCTACAGGGGGACTTCGGAGGAAAAATTAAAATACCCGACAAATATTCCAAAATGGCCAAAATTAGTATAAAAAACGTCCCCAGACTATGTTTTACCATTCTTGAATGTCCCTCCTGTAGAAGGACAGGCCCGACTTACCGCTACTCCCCGAACCTCTCCAGGAGAAAAGTCTGACCAGAAGTTAGAGGCGAATCCAACGGTGGCGACGAGGACCTCCCAGGAGGCCCGACAAGGGGGAAGCGAGGGAGGGGCAGCGGTAGGGTTACCTCTCACTCCTCTGATGGTCGTCCTCTACCGATTTTATCCTTGTCCTGGCTTCGTCTTCGTATCCCCCCCTCTTCTTGGGGGAACGAAACATGGCATAAACATCAAAACTCGGAGGTCCGCGCGGATTTCTTGGATCCGCGCTGGACCCCCTCCCTGGCGCGCGGAGCGCCAGGGGCGGCGCTGGAGGCGCCGCCCAGGTGGTCCAGCGCGGATCCGAGAGAAATCCGCGCGGCCCTCCGAGTTTTTACGTTTATGCCATTTTTCGTTCCCCTACTTCTTTCGTTGCCCCCTGACATCTGAAAATGATTTGGCAACACGCTTCCTCTCCATTGAATATGTTGCTCCCGTCGCACTTAAAGGCCACATCCCAGAAATAACTTCGAGCACCCGGAAAAGTGGCGAAAGAGTGTCGAAACAGTGTCGAAACAATGTGGGCGAGTGTCTCCCAGGCCCCGACACGTAAAAACCCTCGAACCTCAGAACCCTTCTGGTGCTCGAAATGCTTTCGGGTGATCCAGGCTGAAGTAGGCTGGAACATCATTATCCATTGATCGTCGTCCATAATCGGGGAGACGTAAGACTCGGGTACGAGGGACTCGGGTTGGCCTGACGGGGCCATCAGAAAAATGACGGGATCCGATCTGAAATTTGACGCGAACTCCCGCTGCAAACATCCGACGAAAACTGGACCGTGCAAATCCAGGACGCGCTCGTCACAAAATGCCGGCGAACCCGAGTTCCAGCTCACACGAGTCTTACGTTTCCCCCATATAACCCTTCTGTTTGGACGCCCGAAATGGGTACGGAAAGAATGGGTACAATGCCCAACAGCAGTTCCTGCTCATTCTGAACAGGACTCGCTGTCGGTGTCGCCGCGGCCTGTGTCCATTCGAGACAGAAGGCCGCCTGCCCAACAGCGGCCGCTGTTGGTGTGGGGCAACATTTGTTGTTGGGCATTGTACCCATTCTTTCCGTACCCATTTCGGGCGCCCAAATTCTGCCGTTGCCCCCGACCTTGAGCTCCCGGCGCCCCGCGGGCTCCGCCGGGCCGTGCGGGCCCTCGTCCCGAGCGGGCGGCCGTCGCTCCGTGCCGGCGGGCGCCGCGTGCGACCATGCGGGGGCGCAGCCGTGCGCTGCGGGCCCCGACGTCCACTCGCCGCGGGCAGAGGTCACGGCTGATCGGCGGTGGACAAACCTCCCTTTGAAAGACCTCCCTTTAGTGAAAACGGCCTGGGACCGAAACCGACGAACCTGGACCCGCAAAAATGACGGCCGCGACGCCCTCTCGCGAACCGAAAACGGGCAATTCCTTAATCGACGTGTCAGGGTGGGTCTGTCCAACCCCGAGCTGATCCGGGAGGCACTGAGTGTCGTTTCACCGATCCCCATCCCCAGCGGCATGGCCCGGGTCCCGCTGGCCGATTTACCCCCCCCCTGGGTGGGGATCTAGGCCGCTCTCTTCGGGCTTCGAGGGGTGCATCCCCAACTGGGGTGGTAATCCGGTGGGGGTCTCGAATGGGATGGAGATGGGGATGGGAATCGGCTAAACGATCCCGAGGCAAGAGGACATGCTTAGGGGAACGAACAATGGCATAAGCATAATAACTCGGAGGTCCGCGCGGACTTCTCGGATCGGCGCTGGGGCCCCCTGGCGGCGCCTCTGGCGCCGCGCCAGGGACGGGGGTCCAGCGCGGATACAAGAAATCCGCGCGGACCTCCGAAATTTCACATTCATGTCATTTTTCGTTCCCCTAATCTGGGAGGCAAGAGGACATGCGAATACGATGTGCCCTCTACGGAGGCGCTGGCAAACATCATGACGGGACATCTTCAGATGTTTCGGCCTCTGTGGGCCCTTACCGGGCCTCGGGACAATCAAAAAACGAACTGGGATGAGAAACCCGTCCTGGGGGATGGGTCAGACTTCTGGGGGTCATGACGTCGGCGCGATCCTCTCCAGCTTCAAAATAATGGGGCGCACAAGGGATATTAGTACTACTCCAAATCCCTTACTAATCGTCCCCCGGGTCCTGTTTTTGTTAAGGCGCCTTTTTTGAAACTGGGGGGGGTCCGGTTTATTAGGACGCTTTCTTTGGATTGAAGCTTAGGGGGTGCGGTTTATCAAAGCGCCCCGTCGAAGAGGGGGTCTGGAATATTAGGTCACACTTGGAGGGGGTCTGGTTTTTAGGGTGGGGTCGATTAATAAGGGATTTGGAGTACGTGTCCTCCACGGAGGCGCGCGTCCGACCCGAGCACATAGTACAAACATCTTGTAGAGTATCGTTTCCTGAGCGGTACTGGCCAGCAAGCGACCGCCACCGAGCATGTAGTATAAGATTGTTTCGCGGTACGCGCGTCGCCCCTTTTGGGGGCGACGCGCACATAGCATTAGTATGTTAGGGCGACGCCGATGATCAAAGGCTCTTCAAACATAGCCAGCCTCGAACTCATCCTTACGCATTCCCAAGATTGAGGAGCTGAAGGGCAATGACCATCTTAGGGCAATGAGCAATGATCCTTAAGGTTGGCATCGAGATGAGGCGACGCCAGTCATAGGGATCGGGATATGTTCCAGCCTGGTAAAACCAGTGCTTGCACTTGGGGCATTCGTGCGTGTGTTCTCAGGAACTGGGCCTGCGCGTCGGTCTGGCGGCTAAGCTATGTGGTCGCCGTCGCTGCCCCGTCACCGCCCCGTCGCCGCCTCGTCGCCGCCAGTCGTCTGGGCCTGCGCGTCGGGTCCGCCGCCTCGTGGTTGCGATCGCCGCTCGTCGCCCCGGGTTGTTTTTGGGGCAGCTTACCAAATCTCCTCACGAGCGGCGAAACTATACGCATCCGCACCCTCGCGGCGATTCCGGGGGGGTCGCTATGTTCGGCCTCTGGGGGGCCCTCACTGGGCCGCGGGGCTGTCACAAGAGCGACTCGGGATGTTATCTGGCGAAAAATCATGTCCCTCTCCGTGGCCTCGCAGGCCTGGTCCCCGGGCCACGAGGCTGCGGATGCGGGGCGTTTTTTCCTCTGCGGGTGCCCCGCGCGGGGAAGGGTACGTGTCCGTGCGGCCGATTCTCCGCGGCATCTTGCGCGCCCCGCACTATACGATCCCGCGGACGTGCGGTCGTCCGAACACGCTCCGCGCGGGGTATCCGCGAACGCCCCGTATCCACGGGGTCGTGGCCCGGGGACCTGGCCTGCGAGGCCGCGGATGCGGACCTGTTCTTCGCCCACGAGCTGCGACGACATGCTTTTCTGTGGTCTCCTTGGTCTCGGCTCTCGTTCTCGGGCCCATGACCGTCGAGCATGGATCTGGGACGAGAGACTGACTACACTACACTACACCTGGGGAAGCGGTCGATACCTCTGGGGCCGCGGATGTTAGACAAATCACACCAGCGGACGTCAGGGCTCAGAGTCGGACCCAGGCCAGAAGAACATCCTTCAAGAACACGAGACCCCCCGCCCTGGTATCATTCGAGGGTGCCCTCCCCCAGGATGCACAAGAGCATCCAACGGACACGAGAGAGCATCAGGGCACCCTCCCCAGACCGACCTCGATCTTACCTCAACCCAACTGCATCGAACAGTTTTGGGGGGCCGCCTCTTTTGGAGTCCCGAACCGGTGCGGTGACAAACCGTGCGGTGACCCCGGAATACCCCGAGACCTCACCGCACGGTCCGTCAACGCACGGTCTTGGGACCTCGGATGCCCCAGTCGCCCGAGACGTCCTCGGAGAACGACCCGAGTCCCAAAACCGTGCGGTGACCCCGAACTCCCACCGACTCACCACACGGCGTGGTCACCACCCCGTTTGGGGGGGGCCCCGAGCTTATGGTCCTTCGGGGGCCCCCGTCGGGCCCCGAGGGCCGCCGGAACAGGAGGCGCGTCGGCGGCACTCCCAGGGTTAGGTCGGGCATGTCCGCCTACAGGCGCATTTTGGACGAAAAATGAAGAGCTCCCCCCCAAAAAAACCAAAACATAAGAGAAAAATTGACACCAGACTATTTGAAAAGTATTTTCGAAGATTCCTCCTGTAGAGGGGAGGGACACGCTCGACTCAATCCCAGGGCGGAAGCGAGAGTGGGCAGGCCTTCTCCGAAGGCGGCGGCCTTCGAAGCAGGCCCCCGGGAGCTTCCCCGAGAGCGCCAGACGCCTCCCAAGAGCCCTCTGAGAGGGCCCGCCCCCTACGCATTCCCCTCCGGAGGGGGGATGGGGGGGGAGGGGAGAGGGAGGAAAAGAGGAGGGGGTGCGGGGGAAGAGGGGGGATGGGGAGGGGGGGGAGGTGGGGAGAGGGGGGGGGAGGGGGAGGGGGAGGAGGGGAAGGGGAGAGGGAGGGAGAGAGGCAGAGGGAGGAGGAGAGGAGGAGGAGCTCCGCGCTGCTCAGCTGTGCCCAGCGCCCAAGAAAAGAGGAGAGAAGAGGGGGAGAGGGAGGGGGGGGGGGAGGGAGAGGAGGAGAGGACGAAAAGAGGAGAGGAGGGGAGGAGGAGGGGAGGAGAGGAGGAGGAGAGGAGGAGGAGAGAGGGTGGGGGAAATGAGGGGAGGAGGGGGGAGGAGGGAGGGAGAGGGGGGAGGGAGAGGGGGGAGGGGAAGAGAAGGAGAGGACGAGCAGAGCCAGACCTCGGCACGGCGACGGGACGTCAGGGGAGAGGCACGGCGCCCAGCAGTCCATGGCCGCGTTTGTGCCCGCGGGCGCTCCCTCGCCGCGCGCGGGCGCCCTCGGGCGGGGAGGCGGGCCCCCGGAGCCAAGAGGCTCGAGGCTCGAGGTTTGGAGGATGGGCCCGCTTCCCACCACCACCACCACAGGTTGGAGGGGGAGGGGGTCCTCCCCTCCTCCTCTTCCTCCTCCTCCTCCTCCTCCTCCTCCTGCTTCCCCTCCTCCTCCTCCTCCTCCTCCTCCTCCTCCTCCTCCTCCTCGTCCGCGTCCTCCTCGTCCTCCACCTCCTTCCCCCTTCAACTTATGGTAGTGGTGGTGGAAAGCAGGCCCATCTTCGGCGACGCGCCCATGGGGGGGATGGCAGATGGGGGCGGGGCCTCTCAGAAGGCTCGGCAGGCCGCTGGCCCTCCCAGGAGCTCTCCGAGCCTCCTCCGCATCAGCAGAGGGCCCAGCGCCCAGGGAGACACGAATAAACACACGATCCCCGAGATCCCCCACAAGTTTCGCATTTGCTTTTGGTGTTCGTCTTCCCCTCCCCCAGTGCCCCCATTTCCCCATCTCTCCCTGGGAATCGACGGCGGTTGGCGTCGGTGCGTCTTTTCCCTCCTGGAAGCCCCAGGAGGCTGGAGACCTTTTCTTGAATCGGCGATAACCTGGGTTAGCCGGGGGGGGGGGGGGAAGGAATGGGCCGGCCGATCACCGAACCTTCGCGCTGAGGCAGCACTGCACAACCGGCAAGGTTGGGTTATCCTGGGGAGGGGGAGGGGGGGGGGCAAGCCCGATATCGCCGGACCCTAAAGAAACAGTCTCCTGGAGGGTCGCTGAGAAGCCTCGCCGCCCTCTGAGAAGGCCTGCCCCCCCTCGCACGCTTCCCCCTGCGGCGCGCCGCCGGACCTCTGGGGCCTCCCGGGGGGGGGGGGGCTCCTCGTCACCGCGGCCGGACCAGTCCCAGCCCTGGCCTTGGGCCAGGCATGTGCCCCTCCAGGCGGATTTTGGACGAATCGTAAAAATCAGCCTGGCGACGGACCCAACCAGATGCAATGGTGAACACTGTCGTTGTATGCGCCGCACTCGGAGGAGCTCCCTATGGGGTCACCAAACGTGTGAGGGGTGTGCCAAAACGGGTGCGGTGGGCGCATGCGAACGCTGGCATTTGGGCCTTCGGTGGGGCTCCCTATGGGGCCACGAAACGTGTGAGGGTGTGCCGAAATGGGTGTGGCGGGCGCATGCGAACGCACCCACTGGGCCTTCGGTGCAGGTCTCTTTGGGGCCACGAAACGTGCGAGGGGTGTGCCAACATGAGGGGGGGATGGGAGGAGGGAAGAGGAGGGGGAGGGGGAGAGAAGAGGAGAGGAACGCGGAGACCGTCTCTCGAAATGAGGACCCAGCACCACAGGATGGCTGGGACACATTCAGAAACAAATGATCACAAATAGCCAAACCTGGCCAAACATAGTCACAAGAGATCCTCCCCGTGTTATGTTTTCACTATCTTTGATTCCTCCTCCTCTGGAAGGGGCATGCCCGACTCGGCCCTGGCCAGGGCGCACCTCTTGGGGGCTGCCAAGAAGGTGCGCCCTGGCCCGCGGTGCCCCCCAGCCTCCCCGGCTCGGCGCCGGTGCCCCCGGGGGCCCCCCTCTCCGGGCCTCGCGAGGGGTGCGCGGTGGAGGCCGCGGGGGGGGGCCTCCTCGGGGATCCCGGGGGGGCACCTCCAGGGTTACAGTCAAAAACCCTGATAAGGACGCGCGACTTTGCTCAGGGTACCCTTGCGTCCTTGCTCTTCCTTGCTCTTGCGTCCTTGAGGTTTTCGTCGTCCGCCGCCCCACAAATCCCAACTTCGGCTTCAAAGGGTCTTGCGTCCTTACCGCGCGTCCTCATCAGGGTTTTATGACTGTAGGTCGGACATGTCCCCCTACAGGCGGATTTTGGATGACAAGTAAGCATAATTCGGAAACGATCGAAAACAGCCACGACTAGTCAAACATTCGTCCCCCATTCCTCCTGTAGAGGGACATGCCCGACTGAACTCTAGGGGAACGAAGAATGACATGATAAGCATAAAAACTCGGAGGTCCGCGCGGATTTCTCGGATCGGCGCTGGGACCCCCTGGCGGCGCCTCCGGCGCCGCCCCTGGCGCGCTCCGCGCGCCAGGGAGGGGGGTCGGGTCCACATCGAGTCCGCGTCAAGCGCAAGGAAAGACACCAGTGTTTTTTTGGGGGGGACAGACGAGGTCCCCCGACGACGCAACGAAACGAAGCCTGGCAACACCCGAGCGCCTCGGAACAGAGTCCGGGGACCGCGCCTGCCCGTCCGGCCCGGGCGCACCCCCCTCGCGCCGCGAGAGGCGAGAGCACGGCGAGGGACCTCGGCCGGCGGCCAGCCTCTCCCGGGGGGGCCCTTCCAGATGGGCCCGGCACAGGAAAGCATCCTTCGAGAGCATGAGCTCGCCATCGCTCGGACGTCCACTCCCTGTGCTTCCTTCGGTTTCGTGCGCGGTTGTTTCGCCGGATGATCTAGGATGCTCCTCGATGGTCCTCGCCGAAGGAAAAATGCACACGTCCGAGCGATGCCAAGTGAGACCCTCCGCCGGCCAACGCACACACACACACACACAGAACATCCGAGGGTACCCTCCCCAGGATGCACGAAGAACATCCGACAGGCACGAAGAACATGAGGGCACCCTGCCCGAATCGAGCCGATCTGATACCTCGGTCCGACCGTACCCGCTCACTGAGGCAGTCAGAAAACGGGCAGGGACGGGCCCCCAGGAAGGACGAGGAGCGAACAGAAGTTGGGAGTGAGGGGGATAATGACAGGGAGCAGGCAGCAGGACGAGGAGGAGGATGAGGAGGAGGGAGAAGGAGAAGCAAGGAGAGGAAGGAGGAATGCTCGAGCCGAGTCGAGTGGCTGCTGGGTCTGCTTTTTCGCCGGTGCCACTCCAGTATCCCTGGCTGACACTCGGGACCATTGATCACACAGAGAAGCTGCCGCTGCGCCTTCGCGAGCGCTCCGACTGCTTCCCGCACGCTCCAGGCTACGATCGCCAGCCGGCAGCGGCGGTCATGGCACCTGTCGTCGGCCGTGCCCGCCGCATGGCCCAGCTCCTCCAGGTTCCGAAACATCTGCAGCAGGGCCCCGGCGTCCGGGGCTGCGCGCTCGAGCTCGGCGCTCACCTCCCTGCAGTGGTGCCAGTCGTGGGTGCGAGTGGTCCTCCGTATCGCAGAGATCCGCTGGGCCCCTGGGGCGGGAGGCCGCCAGGCTCCTCGTCGTGGGCGGTGCGATTCTGGGGCGCCGATGCTCGCTTCGGAGCGGGAGGAGGGAGGAGGGAGGCCACAAAAATTCCTCCTCCAACCGCCCCTCCTCGTCCTCGAGCTCCCCCTCCCCCTCCTCAACCTCCCTCATTATCCCTTCTCTCCCTCCTCCTCGTCCTGTTCCCTTCCTTCCGTTCCCTCACAAACAACCTCCCCTCCTGGCCACCACCACCCGTTCTGGTAGGACGCGCCGACCATGCCTCCTGGAACTTCCGCGCCACGGAAGCTTGAACTGTCCCACAGAAGCGAGGATGGAAGGTGACCCCTTCTGAAGCGGATCTCGCCTGAGCGTAGCGCACATTCGTGTTTAGAACATTCGGATGGAGTTCGGTCTGGCTTCAAAAGGTGGCGCCCGCCAAAGCGCAGCGCGCAGCGCACACTCGTCTTCACATTGCCCCACAATGATTGCAGGCGGCCTGTCAAAAAAATGACTTTCCCCTGAGCGCCGCGCAACATTCAGGAAACAGCTTTCAGCAATTGCACGGATGGAGGGCGGCTCCGTGAATGCGACGCTGCCTCTCGCTGAAGGCCTTCTCAGCAGTTGCAGGCAGCAGATGTTTTCAGGACGTGCAACAGACACACGGATGGAGGGCGGCTCCGTTTTCGCAGTGCGTCTTGGGGAAACCCAGAGGTACCGATACAACTACCCCGGGGCCTCTCCTGGGGTGCGTTCCGACCAGGACTCCGGGGCGAATCCAGCGGTGGCGGCGACGGAGGCCCAGGCGGCCCCCAAAAAGGGCAAAACGAGGCGAGGGTAGAGGTGCGGGTACCTCTTCCCAAGCTGATGCTTATCCATCGAAGCTTCCTCCCAAGTGGCATGGCCATGATTGTGCAACAGGGCCCCGGATGTGAAGGGGCCCCAGGACACACAAATAAATACACACAAATAACAATATTCCCGAAATTTCTCTATGGTTTTGGTATTCCCCCCCACTTGCCATAGTTTCCCATATGTCCTAAGGAATCGAGGATTCATTGTGTCTGTGTGTTGTGCTCCTCTCCTGAGGATGGGCGGGCGAGGCCTTGTTCCAAACGTGGCTATCGCTGGACAGGCCCTCATGAACTAGGTAACCTCTTGCTCCGATCCCGTGGCCTTGGCACCTCGCTTCGCGCTCAGGGTGGAGGGCTGCCCTACTGCTTTAAAGGGCCTCCAGGACACACAAATGAATACACACAAATACAAAGATTCCCCACATTCTCCCATATTTCCTGGGTTTTTGTCTTCCCCCCACTTCCCATATTTCCCATATTTTCCAGGAAATCGACGATTGATTGTGTCTGTGTGTTTTTTCCCCTCCTGATCCTCAGTGGCGACTGACAGTGGGGCGCTCAAGTTTCACAGGGCACATCCCGCAGCGAGCAGGAACTCCGGAGGGGCCCGCGAGGAGGGGGCTCGGACTGGGAAGGCGTGCCGCAGCGTCACTGCTGAGCCCTGGGCTGCCACGAGTCCTCCCTCCTCCTCCTCTCCTTACGTCGGGCGTGTCCCCCTACAGGGGGATTTTTGAGGAAGAATACAACATACCCTAAACATGCTCCATAATGGTCAAACATACTTGAAAAATCGTCCCCCGACTATTTTTTGACTATTTTTGAATATTTCCCCTGTAGAGGGACAGGCCCGACTTAATCCTCTCCCTCACCCGCCCCCACCAGAAACGCTCAAACAACCGCGGAAGCGAACGGCAACATCCGACGACACCGAGAAACCTCCCCAGCACGCCCGCGGGCCTGCGAGGATCCCCGGGGACAGTCCAGACGCCTTGCCCTCCCCCGTCTCTTCCCCCCTCCCCTCCCCGTCCTCCCCGTCCGAAGCCATGTTGCCTCAAGTAACAATTGGCGGCGCGCATAAGGAGGTGGAGGGAGGGGGGAGGGCTTCTTAGAAGGAGGCTGCTTCTTAGAAGGCGCCGGCCTCACATCTATAGAGAAAGCCCGCGCCTTCTAAGAAGCAGGGGTGCTTCTAAGAAGCCCTCCCCCCTCCCCCCACCCCCCTCTGCGCGTGGCTGAAACAAAGTTCTCAGGGGAATCAAAAGAGCGGCGAAAAGAAACGGGTCTAACGCGAGATACCATAACAACCGTACGCTGCGGCTTGCGCGGGCCGCGGGCGCGGCACGCCGCCCTGGAAGCGAGGGCGCTCACGCGCGACCTCACGCGGGCAGCTTGCGCGTCACTAGCGGTGAAGACGACCCCGCTGCTCTGCGCCGCTCAAGCGGATACCGCTGATCCGCGGCAGGCAGATCAGCTCGGCTGCTCCACATCGCCCTCACCGAGATACTCCCCCGCGTCGATGAAAATGAGTTCCTCGCCTGCTTCCCAGAGCCCGGTATCTGGCCGGACATGCTCTGCGATCTTGCAGCGCAGGCACGGCGACCTGCATGCTCTCCACCCTCCAAAAACGAGGCCGGCCGCACCACCGAAGACAGGGAGCGCGATGGCGAGCGCATTGTATAGGAACAAGGAACGGCGACACCAACACCACCAGAGCGAGGAGATGCGCGGTGGCAAGTGGGGTCTCCCTGGTGGTGTGGCCCCCCCCTCTCGCTCGAAACACCCCCAGCCTCCAGCTCGGGGAGGCATCGTGGACCTCCTCGCTGGAGGTGGGCCCCCTGGTGGTGTGTTGGAGTCGCTTCTCCTCCCTCCGACTGTGCACGCAAACGCTGGCAATGCCGACGTCGCCACGCGCGCTTCAGCGCGGGCAGCACCGGCGCCTCGTGCTCGCGGCGGCGGTTGCGACGCGCTCGGCTCCTCGTGCCGGCGACCTCGGCGGCGAGTGGCCCCAGGCTGGATGGCGCTGCCCCCATGGAGCATCGCTCGGCCGATCCCCTCGAGACTATTTTTGACTATCTTTGAATATTTTTGACTATTTTTGAGTATTCCTCCAGTGGAGGGACACGCCCGACTTGACGCCGTGAGGCCCTCGCAATGTTCCCCGCGCGGGGGTCATACCAGGCGCCCCGGGGACCCTGGGAGGCGTGGAGGGCACCGTGGCCTCCTCGACCTCCGGCGGGCCCCCAGAAAACGGGCGGCCGCGTCTGGAGAAGCTGAGCATCGTTTCACTGGTCCCCGTCCCCACCAGCGTGGGCTGGGCCCCACTGGCCGATTTACCCCCCTGGATGGGGATGTAGGCTGCTCTCGTCGGGTCTCGAGGGGCATGTCCCCAACCGAGGTGGTGAGACGGTGGGGCTCGAGATGTGGATGGGGATTGGGATGGGGATGGGGTTCGGTTGAAGGATACTGACCCATTGCGACTACAGGAACCTGGGCTGGCACTCGCAATGCCGCCAGCCGGGGTGGCATAGCTACCGCCCGCCGGCTCGCGGCGTGCCTCCTCGCGGTGGTGATCGTGGTGCTGGCGGTGCGTGGGTACGCGGGCCTCCCGAGCCCACCAGCGCCACGCCGCCTCGGCGTGGCACGGCCCAGGCAGGGTCCGCCCGAGCTCTCCGCCGAGGCTCGTGACCGATGCATGGCCTTTGGCGACGACGACATCGGCCTGCTCCAGATCATGCTGTGCGACAACGACAAGCAAAACCTGCGCCAGGCGCGCATCCTGGCGCAGCAGCTGGGAGCCCTGTCGGAGGTCAGGTAGGTCAAAGCGGGCCGCAGGCTGCAGAAGGCCCAGTCGGCCCACGACGCGAAGCAGAAGAAGGCTGCCGAGGCGCTCGAGGCCGCTTTCGCCCAGAAGCAGAAGGTGGAGCAGCTGCAGGCCGAGCTCGACGCGGCGGTGGAGAAGGCCAAGCAGGTGCTCGTGCTCGGCGCCACCCCAACGCCTCCACCTCCTTCGACGGCTTAGCTCCAGGGCGTGAACCTCGGAGCTGCTGCGGGGCCGCTGCGCGAGCGGCTCCCCCAGCTCAACGCCGACGCTGTCGGTTTCAAGGCGTGTGCTGAGCCAGCACACCCTGCGGCGAGCGCTCCAGGCGCTGGAGCTGCGGCGTCGCCGGCCGAAGAGGGCGCTGCAAGGGGTGCACGGGTTCCAGCTGGCCATGGCAAACAAGACCGTTGAGGGCGTGGCGATGTGGATCTCGGCGGTGGACGCGGCACTGTGCGACAGCGACACCACTCACCGCGCTGCCAAGCCGAACATGCCTGCGCCGAGGGCCGTGGCTGCTGCCACCGCTGCTGCGCCACACCTGTTGTGCGACTTCCGAGGCCCCGAGGGGAAGCGGTGGCGTGCTCACTACCACTGGGCGGGGCGCGTGGGCGAGTGCTCAGGCACTACGTGCAGGCCGTCCTCGCGCACAAACGCGTGCTAGCGGAGAGTGGCGCCAAGTGCCATCGGCTGGTCGAGATCAAGCCGCTGGCCGACAGCGCCCTGGTCCGCAACCTGCCCATGATCGCTTGCCTGCTCTGCGGGGCGACTGGGGCAGCTCGGAGTGCCAGCTTCAAGCACACATGCGGCGCCTTCGAGAAGGGCAAGTGCGTGCCATCACCGCTCGACAAGCATCTCGGCCGTCCGTGCCGCAGAAGAGCGTCGTGGAGCTGCGAACGCTGGGCTAGCGGCGGCGGCGAGCCCGCTGAGCGGGCCAGACGCGCGGCTGCGGCCGTGCGTGCGGAGGGCGACGGCACCGTCTTCTCTGAGGCGCGCGCATCCCCTCTTCCTAATCCTCCTCCGCCTCCTCTTCTCCCACTCCCCCTCCTCCACCTCTTCGTCTTACTCGTCCTCGCCCTCCTTCTCGTCCTCCTCCTCCCCCTTCCCTTCCCTCTCCGCATCCCCCCTTCCTCCTTCCTACCCTCCTTCTCCTCTCCCTGTCGCCTCCTCATCCTCCACCACGTCACATCGTCTCCTCTTCCTCCTCCTCCTCCTCCTCCTCCTCCTCCTCCTTCCTCTCCTCCTCCCCTCCTCCTCCTCCTCCTCCTCCTCCTCCTCCTCCTCCCGCTCCTCCTGCTCTTCCTCCTCCTCCTCCTCCTCCTCCTCCTCCTCCGTCCTGCTCCTCGTCCTCCTACTCGTCTCCTCGCCTCCCGATACCGCGGCCGATCACCAGTAGGCGGCCGTGGCCCTGAGAGGGGGACCAGACGGCGGCAAGATAAGGACAGCATCGGGCGCCACCTACGCGCGTGCGCCGCAAACGAAGAGAGAAGCCGTGCACGCCAGGGGCGGGTCGGCAGTGGAACGGCCGTGTATAGTGCACCCCCGCTGGCACTGATAAGCGGCTCCGCGTGGCAGGCCGCTGACCCAGACAAGCGACTTCTTGAGTCTGCAGTGCGGGGCCCCCAGAAGTCCCGGCCCGACCCTTTCCCCAGGGCTGCTTTTTCGCCACGGGTCTGCTGTTCTGTGACGTCCCTGGGGCTCGACAACGGGCCCCAGAGGACGAAATGAGCCTGCTTTTCGGCTCAGATTCTGACAAGCTTGCTTAGTGTCCCCGGGGCTCGGCTCGGCAACGGGCCCCAAAGGCCGACATCGAGGACGAGCGCTTGAGATCCCTGCGCCGGAAAGACTCGTCCATATCCGCTGCCGCGGGGTCGTCCTCCGAGGGCTCGGGAAGCGGTGGACATACGGATAAATTTAAGTCGGGCATGTCCCCCTACAGGCGCAGTTGCGGAAAAATATAAGTAAACAACACATAACCGAAAATGGGGGGGAAAAAAAACGGACAGCTACCCCCTTGGCCCACCGCCAGCCCCACGCCAAGGGGCGATCATATATACGGGCGCAGCACCGCGCTGGATGCGTAGCCTTCGGCTGACTGCCCGTGCGTGCGTGGCACATGGTGCTGCTTGGTTACCTCTGAGAAATATCCTCACCCCCTGGGCTAAACTTTCCAGCGCAACAACCTCACACCCCTCGCTTAAAACTACAAGCGAAATGCCCTCACGCCCCTGGTCTCAAGCGGCCAGTGAAATATCGTCACGCCCCTGGCCTAAAATTGCCAGCGAAATATCCTCACACCTTGACTTGAAACTGTCAGCGAACTATCCTCACCCCAAGGCCAAAAAACTGGCAGCTAAATATCCTCACCCCCTGACTTAAAACTGCCAGCGAAATATCCTCAACCCCCTGACTTCAAACTGCCAGCGAAATAGCCTCACCCCTGGACGTAAAACTGTCAGCGAACTATCCCCACCCCAGGGCCAAAAAACTGCAAGCGAAATATCCTCAATCCCCTGACTTAAACCTGCCAGCGAAATATCCTCAACCCCTTCGCTTGAAGGTGCCAGCGAAACATCCTCAATCCCTGGCCTAACCAGCGAATATCCGAACACCCTCCGCTTGAAACTGCCAGCGAAATATCCTCACCCCCTGGCCTAAAACTGCCAGCGAAATGTCCTCACCCCCTGGCCTAAAACTGCCAGCGAATGTCCTCACCCCCCTGGCCGAAAACTGCCAGCAAAATATCCTCAACCCGCTGGCCTAAAACTGCCAGCGGAATATCCTCACCCCCTGGCCTAACCAGTGAATATCCGAACACCCTCCGCTTAAAACTGCCAGCGAAATATCCTCACCCCCTGGCCTAAAACTGCCAGCGAAATGTCCTCACCCCCTGGTTGAAAAACTGCCAGCGAAATATCCTCACGCCCTGCCTAAAACTGTCAACAACATATCCTCACCCCCTGACTTAAAATTGCCAAAGCGAAGCATCCTCAACCCCCTGGCCTAAAACTGCCAGCGAAATATCCTCACCACCCTGGCCTCAAACTGCCAGCGAAACATCCTCACACCCCTCGCTTAAAACTACAAGCGAAATATCCCCACACCCTTGACCAACAACTCACTGAACAATATCCTCGCCCCCCTGGCCTACAACTGCCAGCGAAATTCCTCACCCGCCTGACTTAAAACTGGCAGCGAAATATCCTCACCCCCTTGGCCTGAAGCTGCCAGCTATATATCCTCACCCCCTGACTTAAAACTGCCAGCAAAATATCCTCACCCCCCTGACTTCAAACTGCCAGCGAAATATCCTCGCCCCTCTGACTTAACTTACCAGCGAAATGTCATCACCCCCTCGCCTAAAACTGCCAGCGAAATATCATCACCCCCCTGGCCTCAAACTGCCAGCGAAATATCCTCACACCCCTCGCTTAAAACTGCCAGCGAAATATCCTCACACCCTTGACCAAAAACTCACTGAACAATATCCTCGCCCCCCTGGCCTACAACTGCCAGCGAAACATGCTCCCCCGCCTGACTTAAAACTGCCAGCGAAATATCCTCACCCCCTTGGCCTAAAACTGCCAGCTAAATATCCTCAACCCCTGACTTAAGACTGCCAGCGAAATATCCTCAACCCCCTAACTTAAAACTGCCAGCGAAATATCCTCGCCCCTCTGACCTAAAGCTGCCAACAAAATATCCTCGCCCCCTGGCCTAAAACTGCCAGCGAACTATCCTCAACCCCCTGACTCAAAACTGCCAGCGCAACATCCTCACCCCCTAGCCTGAAAACTGCCAGCGAAATATCCCCAACCGCCTGACTTAAGACTGACAGCCAGAGATCCTCAAACCCCTGGCCAAACATTACCAGCGAAATATCCTCACCCCCTGGCTCAAAACTGCCAGCGAAATATCCGCAACCCTCTGGCCTAAAAATGCCAGCGACATATCCTCACACCCCTCGCTTAAAACTGCCAGCGAAATGTCCTCACCCCCTGGCCTAAAACTGCCAGCGAAATATCCTCAACCCTCTTGCTTAAAACTGCCAGCGAAATATCCTCACCCTTTGACCTAAAACTGCCAGCGACATATCCTTAACTCGAGAGCAGCCAAGGATGGGCCAGAGAGGCACGTACGCAAGGGTACTCATGGGAAGGTCGCCCATTAGAGGCCGCCTAGATGGGGTCGGGGTAGATGGGGTCATGGGATCGCGACGCATCGGCGATACGTCGGGGATGCATCGGCGACACATCGCCGATATACCGATGATGCACCGTCGACGTGGGCGATGCATCGGCGACGTCGACGTGGCGCAAATCGGGCTCCACATCGAGCCGCATCGCCGCTGCACCGACGATGCGGAGCGATCTACTCCGACCCCATCTATCCTCCGACCCCACCTGGGAGGCCTGGACCCATCCTTACCCTCCTCTTCCCTCTCCTCCTCCTCCTGCTCCTCCTCCTCCTCCTCCTCCTCCTTCTCCTCGGTCTCGACTGTACTCCGGCGATGGAACCCGGGGATGAGGCCGGGCGGGCGCCGCGAGGCGTCCGGGGATGACCGCCCTCATGAAGGTCAGCGTGTCGTGCAGCGCGGCCTGCGGCTCCGGCGCCGCCAGCACGCCGACCAGCCAGTCGGCGTGCACCGGGTCATGGGCTGCCACGTCGGTGTCCTCGATGATGGAGAAGGAGAAGGAGGAGGAGGAGGAGGAGGAGGAGGAGGAGGAGGAGGAGGAGATGGAGGAGGAGGAGGAAGAGGAGGATGGAGGAGGAGGAGGAGGCGGAGGTGGAGGAGGAAGAGGTGGAAGAGGAGGAGGAGGAGGTGGAAGATGAGGAGGAGGAGGAGGAGGAGGAGGAGAAGGAGGATGGGAAGGAACAGGCGCACGCAGCAAGCACGGTGAGAGATCTTACCGCAAGAGATCTGGGGGCACACCCCTCGCCGGCGCCGGGCTTCGCCGGGTGCGCAAGGGCCGCGCGGGCTCAGAGGGAGGTAAGACAACAACAAATGATCGTGGGGCACACGTTGGCAGGCCTTGTCAAGAAGTCCCTGGCAAAGAGTCCTCGGTATGGAATTTGTAACACAGAATCGTTCGTGAGGATTCTTTCGCACTGAATCCTCAGTGAGGAGTCTGCATTGAGGATTCCTTGATATGGAATTTGTATTGAGGAAGCTAGTTTCATACTTTCTGCGCCTACCAGTGTTGGCCACATCTGTCGCAGCTCCGCGCGGATCTCTTGGATCGTCCCCTGGCCCCCTGGAAGCGCCTCCGACCGCACCTGGCGCGCACTGCACGCCAGGGGAGGGGTCCAGCGCCGATCCAAGAAATCCATGCGGGCCTCCGAAAGGTTATGCGCGTGCCACAATTTCTCCGTCGACGTCCGACTCGCGGTCGCTGACCGCCATGTTGATGAGCTTCAGGCTGAAGAGGAGGCTGCTGATGCACTCTGCCGCGAGCTCGTGGCAGCGGAAGTGGAAGGCCGCACCTTCGCGGGGCAGGAGGCCCGTCTTAGGATCCAGCGCCTTCAGCAGGTCTCTGTATTCGGGAAGCCTGCGCTCGAGCTCTGCCAGGGACTCCTTGCTGACAGCGGCGGGGTCCCCGGCAGAGAGGCGGCTGTACTTCTGCAGGAGGAGCTCGGCGAGCCCTCCGAACAGTGTCTCGGCACTGATCGACGGCGTTCGGCCCCACATCAGTACGGTGTCGACGGCCATCTGGACGATGAGCGCGAACACGACCTCCCTGGTTATCTCGTCTTGGTGGAGGGCACTCTCCCCGGTGATATTGGGACAAGTCTTCATCAACGGCACCACGCCCAAGCCAGCAATGAGCGAAGCCGGGTAGCTCCATTGCGTGCCAGACAGGCCGATGTAGGCGAAGAGCGACACGAAGAGCCAGAGCGAGAGACCCTGACAAGCCGTCCGCAGCCCAGTTCCGCACTGCGTGAGCGGGCACGTGGTCAGCAACCATACTATGCACAGCGGGAGTGCGCCTGCGAGAGCTACCCCGATCAGTCGCTGGACGTTGCGGTCTGTTACCTCCCCGGGAGCGCGCGTCATCAGCAAAGATAACGTCGAGGCCATCACGAAAGAGTGGTCCATGTAGTACTTGCCGATCAAGAAGCACACGAATATCGGCACCGTGTTCCGGACGATCGCGATCACTTTCTTCCGGGATGCAACAAAAACGCGACTCCACAGACCTCCCTGGGCATGCGTCCTGGCCAGTACCCCGAAGCGAATCCCATCGAGGCGACAGGGACCCCCAGAGGCCCAAGAAGGCGAAAGTGAGGTAAGGGCTTCGGTATGACCATGGCTTCCCCTCTGGCCTTCGGACAGCCAGACACCGAACTTGCAGCGGATGCGCGGAAGCTTAGCATGAGGGAGAGGGGTCCTCGGGGAAGCAAGGCCTGCACCCCAGGGCACGCATTAGGACCAGCTTCTCATCCTGACGAACAAAAAAGAAAAACCTCGAGGACGCCTCACATCCCCGGACATCCGGCGCTTCGACTGGCTCGACGCATGGCCCTTGGATACGTGCGGGAAGCGTCGACCCCTCCTCGGCCAGGCTTTCGTCCCGAGCTATCTGTGGACAGCCCCGACGCCCGAAAGCAGCATCCGGAGGCCAAAACCTGCGACAAACCAGCCGACTCGACTGAGTCGAGGCGCCAGATGTGTGGGTGCCAAGGGGGTCGAAACTTGGCCCCTGGACCAATCCTAGGTTTAGGTCGTGCATGTCCTCCTACAGGGGGGTTGACGAACAATAAAAACTAATCAACACATGTTCAAGAATGGATAGAAAATACCAGCAACATCGTCCCCCGACTATTTTTTACTATTCTGGAATATCCCTCCTCTGGAGGGACACGCCCGACTTAAGACTTATTTCAAACCGCAGCCACAGAGGTCCCAGCAGCTTCCCGGGGGCCAGTTTTGTTCGCCCCGCAACCACTTTTGAGGCCGAGAAACACGGCCCGCGAGGGCCGACACCCATGGAGAAACGTCCGCATGGAAACCAAGGAGGAGGAGGAGGAGGACTGGAGGAGGAGGAGGACAGGAGGAGGAGGAGGAGGAGGAGGAGGAGGACAGGAGGAGGAGGAGGAGGACAGGAGGAGGAAGCGGAGGAGGAGGACAGGAGGAAGAGGAGGAGGACAGGAGGAGGAGGAGGAGGAGGAGTAGGAGGAGGACAGGAGGAGGAGGAGGAGGAGGAGGACAGGAGGAGGAAGCGGAGGAGGAGGACAGGAGGAGGAGGAGGAGGAGGAGGAGGAGGAGGAGAACACAGACCGTCGGAGATATCTGTGAATCTGCTCTCTCGAGGCTCAGAGGCGCCCCTCTCCCTCGGCCGAGGAGGCGCCCGCAGAACTTGGCGGCGCTCGACCTGTGCACGCCCTGACTCGGGGAGACGTAAGACTTGGGCACGGGGGGACCCGGGTTGGCCTGACGGGGCCATCGTGAAAATGACAAAACCCAATCCGAAATTTGACGCGAACCCCTGCTGCAAACGTCCCACGAAAACCGGACCACCAAAATCCGGGACGCGCCCGTCGAAGAAAACGCCGGCAGACCCGAGTTCCGGCTTGCTCGAGCCTTACGTTTCCCCGACCGATGATCGGTGGCGACGACAAGGGCGAGTAGCCCAAGGGCGGGCACTACAAATACAGTATTCGCCCGGGAGCCCCGTCGAAGACCTAGATCATCGGCGCCCCTGAATACATGGATTGCTCTCCCCTGGGCCATTCGCTCCCATCGTCGCCTCTGAGATGAGGGGGCAACGTCAGGGGGGGGGGGGGGCCGGCTCGGGGCGGGGTGGAAACACGTCGAGCCGCGACCGGCGATGCCTCGTCGGCCGAGCGGCCCCCCCCGCCGGAGGGCGAGGCCGCGCGCTCCTGGGCGGGGCGGGCCGGCAGTCCCCCACTGGCAGCGGCGAGCGTCGGGGGCGCGCCAGACATGGATGGGCCGTCCACGGATCTGGCGCGCGGTCGCCAGAGCCACGGATCGGGGGGGGGGGGGGGCGCTCCCCAAAAATGAGGCCGGTGCCGCCTCGCTCGGCGGCGGAGATCCGCGATGTCCCATGGAAGCGGGACCCGCCGCCAGTCTGAGCAAGCGATCCCCATCCCCACCCCCCCAAATGGGGATATGGGTCGTTCCCTTCGGGTTTCGAGGGGTGTATCCCCAACGGGGGTGGTAATCTGGTAGGGGTCTCGAAGGGGATGAGCATGGGGACGGGGATCGGTTAAACGATACGGGCAGTCCACGCCCCCTTGATCCATGTCTGCGATGGCCCGAGAGTGAGCGATCCGAGCTCGGTGCGCCCCCCCCCCCAGGAGCCTGCCCTCCACTGACGTGGTCTAGAGGCAGGCGCGCTCCAGTACTCTTTTTGTTTCAGTCAGGCCTGCCCCTCTACAGAAGGCATCTTCCAAAAATAGTCCAGCCAGAAAAAAGTCGGGGGACGACTTTGTTGAGTATGTGTTGGCCGTTGTTGAGCATTGTGAGACTATGGCTTATTCTTCGTCCAAACGCCCCCTGTAGGAGGACATGCCCGATCCGACAGTGCTCGCAGTCTCTAGCTACTCGTATAGGGCCTCGATCCGCCCCGGGGGCTTCACGACATCATACATCGAGGCGACCAAATCATGTGCTTCGAACATTTGCGTTAGGTCGGGCATGTCCCCCTACAGGCGGTTCTTGGGCGAAAAAAAGATACCCCAAAAATATTCAAACAAAAACACAAGCATGATCAACAAAATCGTCCCCATACTATGTTGTTGCCTATTTGGGAATAGATACCTCCTGTAGAGGGACAAGCCCGACTTAACAAGCCCTCCTGTAGAGGGACAAAACCTGGCGCGCGGAGCGCGCCAGGGGCGGCGCCGGAGGCGCCGCCAGGGGGTCCAGGCGCGGATCCAAGAAATCCGCGCGGAGCGCCAGAAGTTCATGCTTACGTGGTTTTCTTCCTTGGACAAGCGCGCCCCACTGCTCGCAAAATAGCTGCTCGCAAGTGGCCCGGATGCGCCGCAGGGGCTTCACGAGATCTTACACAAAGGCAGGAGCGCGTTTCTTTATGTTCGGCGATGACGGGCGTCATGGGGGGGGGGAGCGGGGGCCACGACGCCCGTCATACCCCCAGCAATAAAGAAACCGGCTCCAGAAATTGTTTTTCCTGACGTTTGCGAGTGCTCTAAATCCCTTGTTAATCGACCCCCCCTTCAAAACCGGACCCCCCTCCAAATGCGACCTGATATTCCGGACCCCCCTCTTCTTGCTAAACCGGACCCCCAGAGCTCCAATCCAAAGAGAACGCCCAAAATAAACCGGACCCCCCCCCCAGATGCAAAAAAAGGCACCTCACAAAAAAGCCGGACCCGGGGGACGATCCATAAAGGGATTCGGAAGATAGGCACTCTGCGAGCCTTGGAGCGCGCCCGGTGCTTCTCCGCAGCGCGCCACAGGGGGAGGGCCCCCCCTGCCTGCGCCAGCGCCCGGGCCTCCCGCAGCGCGGCGCCCTCCGTCCGCCTCGCGCGGGCGGCCGCGCCGGCGGCCCAGGACGCGAGCAGGAAGGGGCAGACGAGCTCCACGGCGGCGGGGGGCGCGCCGAGGCGGGCCGGGGCTGGGCTCGGAACGCATCTTAGTCCGAATAAGAATCAGAATGCTAATAAGGAAAATCATAAGTATAATTAGAATAATAGTAAGAAGAATAAGAATAAGAATGCGAAGAATAATAATAATGGTAATGCTAACACAGTTGTCTCATTATCTTCATGATCCTTGTCCTATGCGATTTGTATTACAACCCACGTTGAAACATTGTTTTTCCCGGCCGTTGTGTGGGGTAGTGCATCCGAGGATCTCGCCCCCCGCCACGCACGGCGCGTTTTCTTAGCACCGCACCCGCCAAAGTAATTACAACAAGAAGTACAATCAGATCAATACTCATAATAGTAATACAGCTAAGAATCAGACACAAACAATAATGATAATAATAACACTAGTAATAATAATAAGATAAGATAAGATAATATAAGATAATATAAGATAAGATTAGATAAGATCAGATACGACAATATAAGATAATATAAGATAATATATGATAAGGTAAGATAAGATAATATAAGATAAGATAAGAGTAGTGTTAATAATAATAATGCGTAAATACAGACGGGTTCCCCTGCTTCTTTCCTCCCTCCCTCCTTTTCCTAATGTTCTTCATCATCGCTTAGTATTACCACCCCTATCGAAAAATTGTTTTTTCCCGGCCGTCGTGTGGGGTAGTGTGCATCCGAGGATATCGCCCCCGCCACGCACGGCGCGTTATCTTAGCACTCGCACCGCCAAAATGATTCGCCCCCCATCGTAGGCAAGGGCGGCTCCTTTTCAAAGCTGGGCTCTCCCTTGCGTGGGACTTAATGTTGTTTTTGTTGGTAATGTTCATGTTGTTGTTGGTGTTGCTGTTATTGGCCTGTTGTTCTAGATATAATTTTCATCGCTGGTATTATTGACGTTGTTCGCGTTGGTGCCGTGCCATAAGGGAGTCTTGAGGAGGAGGAGCAGGAGGATTGTTTCTGTTTAGCTGGGCCAAAGCCTATTGACTGAGGCCTTGGCCCCCGGCTTGATCCGCAATGGCGAATAAGAACAAAAATGGCTACGAGGGGGGGGAGGAGGAGGAAGGGGAGGAGGCCCCCTGATGAGGAGGAATAGGAGGAGGACCCCTGAGATGGACGAAGAGGAAGAGGAAGAGGACCCCTGCTGGGAAGGCCGGGCGCTGGGAAGACGCGAGACTCCAGTTCTCGCCCAGACCGACCTGACGCAGACTCGTCTGCGTCCAGAGCAGTTTCTGAAGATGTCTCGGGCGAGGCGCTTCAGAACCACAAGGAAACCATATTGCGAGAATGTCTGAGGCGGTTTGCTTGTTTCGGCGAGCAGACTCGTCTGCGTTCACACCAAGGTGCGAAGTGCCAGGGTAACGCTTCTGGGGTGTCAGGTGCGTTGTACTTTCGCCGGAGAGGGGGGGGGTCTTGATTGCTTGATGCGGCTGTACATATATATATATATGTGTGTATGCGAATGCAAGAAAAACGAAGAAAAACAAATGAAAACAACAACTCGCACTCACAACCGTGATTTCTCACGACGCGAGGTCTGGGCTGCGGCCCACAGCCTGGGCCTCTGGCGGCCGATCGGGGCGCCCCACGCACCCCCCCGGGACGCTCTCGACGAGGCGCGGCTGCCGGACCACAGCCGCACGCCAGAAGGACCTCCGGGGAAGCGCCCAGCGCGCCCGACCCCCCCCCCAGGAGGCCAGGAGATGCCTACAGTCGGGGGCTTGACCTAAGGAACCCAAAATAAGGAACGAGGCCCCTTTTTCCCAGGAGTTAAACTTCGATTTCCGATCGAAAACATGAGGAAAACATGAGGCAAGCTGCGAAACACTTAAGGAACGCGGAGCCCCTCCCCAACGAGAAGGGTTCCTTCTTCAAGACCCCTACTGTAGCACTGCAGAGAACCTTCGCCCTGATGTTCGGCCACGACGCGCGGGTGCCAGGGAATCCAGAAGCCCGACGTCGGAATCTGGTCCTAACGTCGATCCCCCCGGGGACCCCAGTGTCTCATCTCGAGTCGTGGTTTGACGGTCTCGAGGCCCGTTGAGGGCCCCCCCGAGGACGAAAAAAGTGTCAAAAACCTCCCGTCGTGAGTTGTTCACGACGGCGATCAGCATAAATTGTCCAAAACCGACAGCGGCTGCTGTTGGGCAGGCGGCCGTCTGTCTTAAATGGACAACGTCCGCGGCAACACCGACAGCGAGTCCTGCTCAAAATGAACAAGACATACAGTCGGTGTGTCTACCCAGGCCTTCCCGTATCCATTTCGACCGTCCCGCCGCGCGGATGTCTTGGATCGGCGCTGGAACCCCCTCCTCTTGCGCGCGGAGCGCGCCAGGGGCGGCACCGGAGGCGCCGCCAGGGGGGTCCCAGAGCAGATCCAACAGATCCGCGCGGAGCTCCGAAAGTGTACGTTCATGCAGTCAATTCTGTGCTCCTCGCATGCATGGCTGCGGGTCGCCACGCGAGCATGCCCGGGAACGGGCCAGCACCGCACCTGGCAGCCCCCCGCCGATGGGGATGCCGCCGGGCGCCGGGGGCGGCGACGCCCCGCAGGCGGCCGCGAGGGCGGCAGCCCGGCGGCGCTCCAGGAGGCTCGCGTCCTCCCGGAGGGCCTCGGCGAGCTCGTGTGCGTCCTGCTGGAGGCGAGCGAGGCTCGTCGTCGTCGTCGTCGTCGTCGTCGTCGTCGTCGTCGTCGTCGTCGTCGTCGTCGTCGTCGTCGTCGTCGTCGTCGTCGTGCTGCCGGGGCGGGATAAGCTCGTAGGTGGCGACATCCAGACCCTAGCCCCACCAACCATCGATTCCCCCGAACCGATGAAAAAGGGGGGAGGGGAGGCATGTAGGGTTCGGATTTCGCCACGCGCTCGACGGACTCCGAACCCTGCCCCCGCCGCCCATGGAAGAAGGGCGCGCGGGCTTCAAGCTGGACGCGCTGCAGAGGCTCGTGCTGATCCACGACCATGTGGGGGAACCGATGGGAGTGCACAGTCTGCTCCGGTGCGAGGGTGCTCCGGGGGGGGCTGCGCCCCGCCTCTGCCCTGCACCTCTTCTCTCTTCCTCCTCCTCCTCCTCCTCCTCCTCCTCCTCCTCCTCCTCCTCCTCCTCCTCCCTTCGCCGGCTCTCCGCGCGGCTGGGAGAGGACCCGCTTTCGAGCCGTCGGCGTCCCACCCCCGCCGCCCGTCGAGTGGCCTGAGTCGCCGATCGGCGAGGGGCCCCCACCAGCCATCGATTCTCCTGAACCGATGGGAGGGAGAACAGCACCATTGCACACTGCATATACTGGCCGTGGGCGAGCCAATCCGCAAGTACCAACAACGCCATCCCTCTCCAAAGCTCGGAGCCAGCCCATTCTGCAAAATAGTATCGCATCTCGCGCGCCTCGCCCAGGCGAGCAAGCAAACTGGAAAGCACGAGGACACCACACATGAATCGCTCCACCGACAGCTGCAGCCTGCGATAGCGGTCAGCATTTTGTAGCGACTTTCGTTTATGGTTCGGACTTCGCCACGCGCTCGGCGGACTCCGCACCCTGCCCCCGCCGCCCATCGGGTTGCCCGAGTCGCTGATCGGCGAGGGACCCCCACCAACCATCGATTCTCCTGAACCGATGGGAGGGAGGGAGGGAGGGAGGGTACTCCAGATTTCGTAATAAAAGGGAGGGGGTCTGGACCCTCCAAGACAAGCCATTTCCCTTTATTACGAAGTCTGGAGTAGGGTTCGGACTTCGCCACGCGCTCGGCGGACTCCGAACCCCGCCCCCGCCGCCGGTCGGTTTGACCGAGTCGCTGATCGGCGAGGGCGGGGTCTGGAGCTCGCCAGCGCGGTCGGCGGCGCGCCAGGCCTCGCGGACGTCAGGGCGCGGGCGCATCCCCGCGGGCGGTCCGAGGGCGGGCTCTGCGCGAGGGGGGGAGCTCGACCGTCGGGCCGCCAGTCGGGCCCGAACGTCCACCCCCTTCCTCATCTTTCTCCTCCTCCTCCTGCTGCTCCTCCTCCTCCTGCTGCTCCTCCTCCTCCTCCTCCTGCTCCGTCTCCTCCCCCTCCCCCTCCCCCTCCCCCTCCTCCTCCTCATCCTCCTCCTCCTCCTCCTCCTCCTCCTCCTCCTCCTCCTGCTGCTGCTCCTCCTCCTCCCCTTCCACTCCATTTCCTTATGAAGAACACCTCCCTGTCGATCCCTGCGGCCGATGGAAAGGGCGGGCCTGGCGCTTCGCCCAATTTTGCTCACCATTTGTGACCCCCGGGCTTAAAAATTGGCGCAGTCTCACAGTTTGGCGGCGGGTGGCTTTCAAACTGCGGCTCTCGCCTTGGCACCGCGCACACTCGATTTTCAAAAACTCAAACGAATTAATGGATTGAGGGCGGGCCATGTTCAAAATATGGCCATCGCCTTTCCAAAATGTGGTTCTCGCCTTTTTGCACGAGTTTCAAACATTGAGGGCGGCTCATTTTCTATATGATGTTCTCGCCTTAGCGCCGCGAACACTCGTCATACAAAAAATGAACGAGGTTCACGGATTGAGGGCGGTTCCTTTTCAACATGCGGCTCTCGCTTTAGCGCCACGTAAGCTCGTCTTAAACGATTGCGAGAGTTTCAAACATTGAGCGCTGCTTATGTTCAAAATGTTGCGCTCGCCTTCGCGCCGCACACACTCGTCTTAAACAGGTGCAACAAAAACACTGATTGAAGGCGGGTGGTTTTCAACATGTGGCTGTCGCCTTCGCGCCGCGCACATTCGGCTTAAACATGTGCCAGAACTTCTCAGAGTGAGGGCGGTTCAACTTCAAAATGTGGTTCCCGCCCTAGTGCCGCGCACGCTCGTTTCAAACATTCGCAGCAGTTTCACGGATTCCAATGGTGAGCGTACCAGAAATCGTGTTGTGGAAGGTCTCAAGATTGTGATGGCGCAACAGTTACGTCGGCTCGCGGTGTTGAAATCCTCAGCAGGAGGTTCTGGCACGATTCAGGATCGTCAAGACGCAACAGTCAGGTTGATTTGTGGCGCTGGAGTCCCGAGAATGGTATTTTGGCACGCTTCATGGTCTCCAAACGGTTGCCTCCCCACGCGGCAGTTCCCACATTGGACATGACCCCTTGGGGGGCCTATGAAAGGGGCGTTTGGGGGGAGGGTTTACTCCAACAGCGTTGATGAGTCTAAAGTGGTCCTCCTCCTCGTCCTCCTCATCCTCCTCTCCATTTCCTTACGAGTGACTCCTCCCTGTCACTCCTCCCGAAGGCCAGTCGGATGGGCGGGACAGGCAGTTCGCCCCAGACGTCCTTACCATTCACGAGTCTCAAGCATAAAAACTGGCAACAGTTTCGCAGATGGAGGGCGGCCGCTTCTAAAATATGGCTCTCGCCTTTGCGCCCCGCACATCCGCTTCGAAACCCCACAAGAGTTTATGGATTGAGGGGTTGTCGTCTTCAAAATGTGGCTCTCGCTTTAGCGCTGCGCACATTCGTTTCAACAAGTCGTGAGAGCTTTATGGATTGAGGGCGGGTCGTTTCCAGAATTTGGTTATCGCCTTAACGCCGCGTGCATTCGCAAGCGTTGCACGGATTAATAGTGGCTCATTTTCACAATGTTGGTCTCGCCGCCGCGCCGCGCACATTCGCTCTAAAACTGTGCATGGGTTTCACGGATTGAAGGCGTTTCCTTTTCAAGATGTGGCGTTCGCCTTAGCGCAGCGCATATTCGTTTCAAACAAATTGCCATAATATTATTGGTTCTCAGGGCTCACGTACCAGAAATGGCGATTCAAAGCTCTCAGGGCGCGACAGTTACGCTGATTCGCGGCGTTGGGGCCACGAAACGTGTGAGGGGTGTGCCGACATGGGCGGGGGAACCGCATGCGAACCCTGCCACGGAAGCCTTCGGTGGAGCTCCCTATGGGGCCACGAAACGTGTAGTGGTTGTGCCGACATGGTCGGGAAGCCGCATGCGAACCCTGCCAACGAGGCCTTCAGTGCAGCTCCCCCTGGGGCCACGAGACGTGTGAGAAATGTGCCGACATGGGCGGGGAACCGTATGCGAGCCCTGCCACGGAGGCCGGAGCTCCCTTATGGGGCCACGAAGCGCGGAAACGGTGCGCCGAAATGGCCGTGCGGAGGGCAGAGGCAGGGATGAGGGGATGGGAGGAGGGAGGGGCGGGAGGAGGAAAAGAGGAGCAGGAGGAGGAGGAAAAGACGGAACAGTAAAAGAGGAACAGGAGCGGCGGGAGGAGGAAAAGAGGAGGAGGAGCAGGAGGAGGAGGAGGAGGAGGAGCAGACGCGGGGCGCTGTCCCTTCAACACGACGACCCACAGGGTGGTTGGGAAAACAAGCTCCGGCACCGACGTCGCACGGCCGCGTGCGCCGTCCTCCGCCGGCCTCCCGCCGACGAGCCCGCCGCCACGCCGCGGACTCCCTGGATCCGATGCTGGGCCCCCCTTCCCGGGCGCGCACCGCGCGCCAGGGGGCGGCGCCAGAGGCACCGCCACCGGGGGGAAGGGGGGAAGGGGGTTGGTCTCGTTATGACAACTGCGTAGGCCTGCGTACGTAAGGCGGGCGTGTGGGGTCGCTGGGCGTGCGTAAGCTGCACGTTGCCATTATATATATATATATATATAGAGAGAGAGAGAGAGGTATAGACACTGGTAATGTTGAGCATGCCGATACGACTTCAGAGTAGTCGTTATGAGTGCGGTCGTTTTGGGCATGGTCGTTCTACGCATGCCTAAACGCCTAAACAAGTTTAAAGTGGTGTTGTCCGTGAAAGAACCAGGGGGAGCCCAAGTCCAGCGAGGACCTGAGAAGTCCGCGAGGGACCCCCGGACACCCAGGCGGCTACCATGCCCTGTTGCGTCGATGCCGTGATTCTTCAGACTTCGGCAAGCTCCTCGCATGGGGGGGCGGAGATGGTGATGCCGATGATGCTGATGCTGATGCTGATGCTGATGCTGATGCTGCTGATGATGATGATGATGATGATGATGATGATGATGTGATGCTGATGATGATGCTGCTGCTGCTGATGATGATGATGATGATGATGATGATGATGATGATGATCATCGGCCGTACCTGAGGGGCTACAGTCCGCCAGCACGCTTCTTGGTCAGTGACGTGCCCAGCAGCTGCAGCCGCGGCCTGTTGCTGCAAGGGGTCTGCAGGTGTTCCGAGAACCACCGAGATGATGATGATGGTGATGATGATGATGATGCTGATGCTGATGCTGATGCTGATGCTGATGATGATGATGATGATGATGATGCTGATGCTGATGCTGATGCTGATGCTGATGATGATGATGATGATGATGATGATGATGATGATGATGATGATGATGATGATGATAAGGAGGAGGAGGAGGAGGAGGAGGAGGAGGAGGAGGACGGCGAGACCCGAAAGAAAAGCTGGACGTCGCGCAAGGCGGGACCAACCGGCACGCCGTTTTCGGCCCAGCGTTGCGTGGGCGTGCGGGGCCGGGCGCCTCGTGGCCCCGCGGACCTCGCGGCCCGGGCGCATGGGCCGCGACCCCGCGGATACGGGGCGCTCTCGTCGCAGAGCCCCCGCGCGGACACGCGTCCGTGGGACCGCCAGCCCACGGGATCGTGCCCCGGAGTGCAGACCGCGAGGGCGCGGCCGTGGACACGTTCACTGCTCGTGAGTGCCACGCAGGCCGAAGCAGACCCGCCTGAGCCCAAGAGTCAAGCGCCCTCCTCCTCCTCCTCCTCCTGCTCCTCCTCCTCCTCCTCCTCCTCCTCCTCCTCCTCCTCCTCCTCGTCGAGCCATCTCGCTTCCGACGGCCGCCGGCTTGGATCTGCGCTGGACACCGCGGCCGCGGCGCCCGAGACATGCTCCAGATCTCCCGGATCATAGAGATTCTCGATTTACCCTCACCCGAATTTGTCCTCGTCCTGGCTTCGTCTTACGGGGGGATGGGCTCATGTCAGAGGAGCAAGAGGTCATCCGGATCCTGAGCCAATGCTATCATGACATGGTTCTCGTCCCATCAGGGGGGCGGCCTCGATCCAGGCCTCTCAGACGGGGTGAGAGTAGATGGTGTCGGAGGATTGCGCTGCCTCAGCGATGCATCGGCGATGCGGGTCGATGTGGAGCCCGATGCATTGCCGACGTCGCCGATGCATCGCCGATGTATCGGCTATACATCGGCGATGCGCTGTGATCCTCTGACCCGATCTACTCGGACCCAATTTGAGAGGCCTCCACTCAGGGAGGCCTCCACGGCGATGCGGGTCGATGTGGAGCCCGATGCATTGCCGACGTCGCCGATGCATCGCCGATGTATCGGCTATACATCGGCGATGCGTTGTGATCCTCTGACCCGATCTACTCGGACCCAATTTGAGAGGCCTCCACTCAGGGAGGCCTCCACTCACGGGGGATGCGGTCGGGAACAATTGCTTAGCGTGTCCTGGCGACGGCCCCAACGACACGCTATTCGTTGGCGTGTCGCCCCGCTCCGCAGGGCGGGGGGCTGGGAACAGCCCGTGACGTTGACGCTTTGGAATGGGGACGTGGATAGCGAGTCGCGGCGAAGCGTGGTGGGCCAGAACCGATGGAGCGACACGCTAAGCCAAAGCTCCTGACCGTACGCTCAGGGGGTAGGGCAACAACAAACTGCATCAACATGATTTATCTGAGTTCTGCCCGGATCTTAGGTCGGCGCTGGGCACCCCCCTGGCAGCGCCTCCGGCGCCGCCAGGGGGGGTACGAGAAATCCGCGCGCGACCCTCCGAGTATTTGTACTTACCTATACGACCGCCCTGCGGGCGATAAGGAGGTGGGGAGGGGATTGAGATCAAATGCCCACCCTGACTGACCTCCAGCCTGAATTGACTGAACCCTGAGATCAAGGCGCCGACAAAAATGAATTTATGGATTGGGTTGGGTGGATTGGATTGGATGGGACAAGATGGATTGGATAAGATAAGATGGGTTGGATTGGAAGAAATGGATTGGATAAGACAAGATGGTTTGGATTGGCCCGCCGCAGGTGCAGAAACAAATGCATTGATGGATTGGATTGGGTGGATTGGATTGGGTGGGATAAGATAAGATGGGACAAAATGGGTTGGATCAGATAAGATGTATTGGATCGGACAAGATGGATTGGATAAGATGAGCTGCATTGGATAAGAAAACCCGCCGCAGGCGCCGATACAAAAATGAATTAAAAAATTAGCGACATGCGTTCGCGCCGGGACACCCGGGACACCTGGGACACCGCCCGGCCCAACTGGGAGACCTCCTGGCCACCGGCGGACGGGAAACGGACTTTCGCTCCTACTGACACCCGGGACACCCAGAACACCACCCCGCCCAACTGGGATACCTCCCGGCCACCGGCGGACGGCAACGGACTTTCGCTCCTACTTCGGCCTAGCTACAGGATCACGCGCAACTTCGCCTCGCCCGCACGCACGACACGAACACGAAACCGAAACCGATTTCCCGGTGGGGGGTCTCCGTTTCACTGCGATCTCACCCCCCAACCTCCGATTATGTCATTGCCCGTTCCCCTAACCGTACCTTTTCTTCCTCTGACATTCCCCTGACCGTACATTTCTTGTGTCATTGCTCGTTCCCCTAACCGTTCCTTTTCTTCCCCTGACCTTCCCCTAACCGTGCATTTCTTGTGTCATTGCCCGCTCCCCTCACCGTTCCTTTTCTTCCTCTGACATTCCCCTAACCGTGCATTTCTTGTGTCATTGCCCGCTCCCCTCACCGTATACCTTTTCCTCCCCCGACCCCCGCCGCGGTCCTCCGCGGCGGCCGCGCCGCCCTGCCGGCCCAGGGCGAGGCGCTCGGCGCTGCTGCGCTCGGCCCGCCGCACCGCCCCCGCGAGCTCGAGGAGCGGCCCCGCCACGGCCTGCCCGAAGCCGGGGGGGCGCGCCGACGGGTCCTGCCGGCGGCGCGCACGGGGCGACGGCGACGGACGACCGCGACGACGACGACGACGACGACGACGACGACGTCGGACGACGACGACGACGACGACGACGATTGTAGCATCCCGCGCCGTGCAGACTGGTGAGTCCTTCGATATAGCAACAATAACTCAGGGTTCGAGTTTGGCAACAGATGGAATCCAAGGCACGAGCGTGCAATAGGTACGAGTCGAAAGTACGAGTGAGAAAGAAGTACGAGCCGAAAGTGCGCATGTGAAAATACCAGACAAGTGCGAACGCAGTACGGCACAAGTACGAAACAAGTACGAATGCACATCCTGAGCGAAAGGAAAATGCGAGGACTACGAAAAACTGCATCCACACGACCAAGAGCGCGAGGCACCAGCCCTGAGATCTGAGCGTCCAATGTTGGTCCACACAGGGGGTCCTCACACTGCTTCGCAAGGGCCCCTGTCGTGATGCTTCATGATTCGCGATGTTGCAGTGTTTCGCCACGTCAGATCTCAAGGTTAGGAAAGACTGGCCTTTCGTGCGCGGTCTCGGAGAGGCGCGGGGAGGCCCAAATCCAATCGCACCAGCCATTGGTACGGCCGGACCTTGGACAGAAGAACATCCTTCAATAACATGAGACCCTACGCCGGGCTAACCGAAAAACATTCGAGGGTACCCTCCCGCAGTATGCAGCATGCACAAGAACATCCAACGAACGCGAAGAACGCGTTGGGTACCCACCCCGAAAGGACCGCGATCTTACACCTCGGTCCGACCGCACGCAAGAGCGACCCGAGACAAGAATGACCTCTGCGAGCGGCTTCGGGAGGCCGCGGGGAGGCCAACTCCAAGAGCGCCAGCCACTGCTCGGTCCGGCGAAGGGTCACCCTGACGCGTGGCCGAACACGAAGGGGGGGGGGGCGCGAGAAGGGCAGCTTCCTGAGAAGCCTGGAGGGCTTCCGGGAAGGCAAGGGGGGGGGGACCCCGAGGGGAGCCCCATACTGGCCTCTGGGAGGCCCCCTCTTGCAAACGCCCTCCAGGCCCCCCAGAGAGGCCCCTGTGCCCTCCAGCGAGGACCCCCTCAGAGCCTTCTCTCGGTGGCTCAGAGCTGGAGCCCTGAGGAATGGGGTCCTGAGGACGAGGTGCCTCAAACAGGGCAGATGCACCCTTGGATCCCTTCCTGTCCTTAGGATTAGGTCGGGCACGTCCCCCTACAGGCGGATCTTGGGCGAAAAATGAAAACTATCCCCCAACATGCCCCGAAATGGTTTTAACAAAGAAAATCGTCCCAAGGCTATATATTGGTACTCTTCTCGAATATTCCTCCTGTGGAGAGGGGCACGCCCGACTGCACCTCAGGAGCCCATCCCCCAGTGTCCCCCTCCTTGAGCCGCCGGTTCTTCGAAGGGGCCGCCCCCCGCGTGCGCGCCGCCGGGTCCTGGCCGAGCAGGCACCGCCGCACCGCCTCGAGCAGGTCCAGGGCCTCGGCCGTGTCCTGGGGAAACCAACAAAAAGTACTCCAAATCCCTTATCCATCGTCCCCCGGGTCCAGTTCAGGGCGCCTGTTTTGTGACTGGGGGGGGTTCCAGTCTACCAGGGCGCTTTCTTTGGATTGGAGCTCAAGGGGGCCGGTTTATCGAGGCGCCCCGTCGAAGAGGGGGGTCTGGAACATTAGGTCGCACTTGGAGGGGGGTCCGGTTTTTTAGGGAGGGTCGATTAAGAAGGGATTTGGGGTACCGCTACCGCTACTCCCCGGACCTCTCCCGAGATGCGTTCTGACCAGGATTTCAAGGCGAATCCAACGGTGGCGACGAGGGCCCCCCAGGAGGCCCAGAGAGGGGGAAACGAGGCAAAGGTGGCTGCACACGTCGGTCGGCAGAAGCGGGTAGAACCATGGAGTAGGAAGGCGTTGAAGATATGGTGGACTTCCGCCCACCCTCTGAGGACGAGGGCGGAGGCAATGCCACCCGACTCTTGAAGTAGATAGGCGCCTAACGTAGATTGGGACTGGGGCATGGAAAAATAGACCCACTTACAACGACCGACGGGCACCGATGCCCATTCCTCCTCTGACGTGTCCTCTCGACGAGCACACGACAGGACCGCAGGCCGCCCACGCCTCGCCGCGACCCCGGCGGGCCCGGACGCCCAGGAGGCGCAGCCCCCGTGCACGGCGCGCTCCCGTGGATGCTGCTGCGCGCGGAGCATCCGCGCAGAGCCGGCCTGTGGTTCGTCGGGTCCGCGGCGCCGTGCCGACGTCGGCGCTGGTTCCCGACACCGCGGGCGACCAAGCCCGATCGGTGGGACACTCGACCAGATTGGGCCAAATCGGGGATGGACAGACCCCCCTTTAGTAAAACGTGGTTTAGTGAAAACGACCTGAGGCCCAAACCTGGCGGGCGCAAGCCTGGAAAATAACGGCCCTGGCGCCCTCTCGAGAACCGAAAACGGACAATTCACTAATCGACGTGTTACTGTTGGGGGTTCTGTCCACCCCCGACCAAATGAAGCCCGGGATCAAGCCCGGGAGTGAGCGGGATGAAGCGGGGTGAAGCCGGATTCGCCCAGAGCAAGACGGTCATCGGCCGCGGACATGCCTGCGCCGATACAAAAAAATGTAACCTCCCATGAGTCGCATCCACGGAAGGGGGAGGGCAGATTCGTGTCGTGCCGAAGTCGGAATGGGTTACCGCGGGGACTGTTCCACCTTGAACGATCGGCCGTTTCTGCAACGTCAGGTCGTTGAGCATCGACCGATGCTGGGTCGCCAGAGGCGTTCAACGCAGAACGCTGGCGGCGGTACGGCGAAAACCTGCTGTACTTGAGGCCGCTGAGCAGGAGGAGGAGGAGGAGGAGGAGGAGGAGGAGGAGGAGGAGGAGGAAGAGCAGGTGGAGGAGGAGGAGTCTGGACACGCGAGGCCGTGGGTTTGGACATGGGTACGCTGCCCGCCCACGATCCTCGGCGTGCGCCTGCGCGAGCCTCTGGACTGCCCCCTCCACCCCGAAGTCCAGGGTCTCCCACCAGCTCTGAGCGGCCCTCGCCCGAAGAGCGCCGTGCTCGTTCATGAGCCAGGTGATCCTGCTCGGCTTCCCCCGGGGCCGTAGGCGACCCGAGGCGGGGGCGGAGGAGGAGGAGTAGGACGAGGAGGAGGAGGAGGAGGAGGAGGAGGAGGAGGAGGAGGAGGAGGTGGAAGACGCGGAGGAGGAGGAGGAGGAGGAGGAGGAGGAGGAGGAGTAGGAGGAAGAGGAGGAGGAGGACGGGTCGCCTAAGCCCTTCGGAGAAACCTCCAGGTGATCCTTGTCTCCAGCGCATGCTTCGACGCGCACCCGGGGCACCCGGGCAGCCCGCAGAGGTACGCAGTGCAGTCCGCCCACGCCAACGAGATCGCGCTCGTCATCGAGGAGATCTCCCTGCACAGCGTGGCCATCTTGCGCGGGAGCAGCAGGACGACCGACACGACGCAGCCGCCGACGGCAGTTCCGAGCACCATCGAGAGCATCGAGTCGAACTCGGGCAGCCAGGGCGCGCCCAGCACCTGCCAGTACCCATGGCTGATGCCCACCCTCGTTGGGAGACCAAAGAAGGTACCGCTACCGCTGCTCCCCAGACATATCCCAGGGTGCGTTCTGAACAGAATTAGGTCGGGCGTGCCCCCCTACAGGCAGATTTTAGGCGAAAGGTTAAACATACAAAAAAACTGCAAAACAAAAAAGACATTCAAATGGTCCCTCGACTATTTTATTCTATTTTCAAATATTCCCCCTGTAGAAGGACGCGCCCGACTTAAAGCTACTCCCCGGACATCTACCAGGGCGCGTTCTGACCAGAGTTTCCAGACGACTCCAGCCAAGCGATATCGGTAGTTACCTTCTCTGACTCTGGTGGGCTCGTTTTCCACCACCACCACCACTACCATCAGTAGGAGCGGGAGGGGGTCCTCCTCCTCCTCCCTCCTCCTCCTCCTCCTCCTCCTCCTCCTCCTCCTCCTCCTCCTCCTCCTCCTCCCTCCTCCTCCTCCTCATCATCCATCTTCCTCCTCCTCATCCTCCAGCTCCTTTCCCCCCAAAACTGATGGGTGGTGGTGGTGGATAACAAACCCATCATCACTCTGGCCTGGGGTTCATGAAGCCCATCATCAGAACGACGTGCCAGCTGAGCCCGAACTTGATGGTGTTGTCCCGGGCGCCGCTCGCGAGGAAGCACACCGTGACCAGGAGCAGGTCGGCGAGGCAGACGTACTCGTCGTAGGGCTGCCCGAGCAGCCGGCACGACTCCGCGCGGAGGTCGGCCTCCGTGCAGTGGGGCCCCTGCGCGCCCTCGGGGTAGAGGAGCGCCAGGACGAGCACGCGGGGAGGCGCAGCGCAAACCGCACAAGGCATGCGCCTTGGGAGGCCCGCGCGGGTCTCGTGGCTCGGCGCCGGAGCCGCCATCTCCCCGGCTTCGCGGAGCGCGCCAGGGGCGGCGACGGAGGCGCCGCCGGGGGAGGCGCCGCCGCCGATCCGAAAAATCCGCGCTTGGGGGGGGGGCCCAGCGTCAGGTCGGGCATGCCACCCTACAGGCGGATTCTGGACGAAACATAAAAATAGCCAAACGATGCTCAAAAATGATCCGAACAAGTATTCCAAACATCGTCCCCTGCAGACTATGCTTTTGACTTTTGCTGGATCTTCCTCCCGTAGAGGGACGTGCCCGACTTCAGCCCAGCGCCGGTCCAAGAAGCCCGCGCGGACCTCCGAAAAAGTGTATGCTCGTGCAGTTCTCCCTGCCCCTCGGCTGTTCAGCACGGCGCACGAGGTGCCGGCCAGCCCCTGCCAGGCGTGCTGGACCGTGGTGCCGTAGTCCTCCGAGGAGGCGGGCTCGGAGGGGAGACTGGGACGGCCACAGGCCTGGAGACCCAGCACATTGAAAAAATGAGGACGGAAGTTGTCCACCCTTTTCGGCCTCTAGAGACCCTCTTTCAGACTTCGGCTCGAGTCCATGGACTGCCTGTGCTATACCTCTCCGGAGACAGATTGGCGGCGCTGCGTGCTATGTAAAACTGTTGGAACCACAAGGGGAGGGGAGGAGAGGGCCGGCAGAGGAGGAGGAAGAGAAGGCGTTCAGGAGAGCTCTACAGGCCCTCGCCGGGCCCCAAGACCGTCACAAAACGACTCAGGATGAAAAACCGGTCCCGGGGAAGGGCTCGGGACCTCCGGGGACCCCTTTTTTAAGAAAATCACGACACCGGATCTCTGGGGAGTCGGATTTGGACACATCGAGGATCTCTGAGATCCGGCGCTTCTGGAGGATGCATCGGGTGCCGCGGCCATCGCTCTGAGAGAGTTCTGGAACGCTCTGGAACGAATTGATTCTCGTTCTGGCCCCGCCCTGTCTATACCGTAGGTTTGCGCCGCGTCGACGCGGCGTCGACCCCAGCGCGGGCGTTCAACGCGGACGCTGCCAGTGGCCCAGAACCGGCCGATGTCGAGCGATCTGCGCTGTCGGAGAGCACGGATCGTTCAAGGTTGAGCGATTGAACGATCCACGCTCTGGAGCGGTTTGTCCTGGTCCTGGGCCGGCCCGATGGGGGGAACGACAGGGGGGGGGCGGGGCGGGGACGGGCCCAGGAAGGGAAAGCATCGGCTTGGAGTCGGCGGCACATCGCCTGCAGATCGGCGCGGGGCCCTCGAGGCCCTCGACAGAGCAGGCACAGCTGCCACCGTGCCTGCACGGAGTGGGCGTGCATGCTTGTCTGTTGTCTTGGAGTTCACTGTTTTCTAAGGCCCCCTCCTCCCGGGCCACACGCGTCGTCCGAAAACCGCCCCTTTTCCGCCACTGTGCCTGCTCGGAGTGGGCGTGTTAGGACATGGGCTGGCACGGGAACGGAAAGAGCGCTTCTATGGGAGCAGACGTTTGAGGATGGCCACAGGGGCTTGGCGGCCGTTTACGCGGCAGCGGTTTTGAGTATCGTTTAACATCCCCAGCGGCGTGGCCTGGGCCCCACCTGCCGATTCACCCCCTAGATGGGGATATAGGTCGTTCCTTTCGAGTTTCGAGGGGTGTATCCCCAACTGGGGTGGTAATTTGGTGGGGGTCTCCAAGGGGATGGGAGTGGGGATTGGTGAATTAAACGATACCGAGGTTTTGGCATAGGGATCATCATGCAGAAGTGTTGGAGCAAACTGGAGGGCGAAGCGCGTTAAGACGGCCGCCGCAACGAGGAGAGCGGAGGAGGGGAAAGATGGAAAAGAGGAGAGAGGAAGACTGAGAGAGTAGATTTTCGAAGGATACAATAGACCAGCGTATTCCACTACTCGCAACGCACCTACTCGCAAATGGCCTGGATCCGCCGCGGGGGATCTACGATCAATCATTCCAAAGAAGGCATGTGTTTTTCGAGCGCTTGCGAGTAGGCACCTGGCGAGTAGTGGAACGCGCTCGGTGATACAAGGACGGGGTGAATCAACATGGACGGGGTACTTCACATATTATGGATTGCCGGCGGGCGTACTCCGTGCCGAAGGCCGGAGCAGGAGACATTGGAAGACGCGGCGGAGGGAGTGTGGCGGCCGGCAAGTGAGAGAGATGATTGGGACGCCTCGGAGAGGAGGAGGAGAACAACAGAGAAGATCCTAGCTACTTGTATCACCGTTCGCTCCTGAAGTTGTGTCAACGGTCTTGGGGGGCCTCTTGAGAGGCTCTGGGAGGCACCTGGATGGCCTCTTGGCGTCCTCTTGGGACTCTTTGCATCCGTTTCCGGGCCCTCTTGGCACGCTCTGGAGCCCCCTCGAGCCCTCCCGGGGCCCTCATGGACCGTCTTGAGGGGCTCGGGCCGGCGTGGGGCGCTCTTGGGGCCGGGGCCCTCCTCGTGCTGCCTCGGGGCTCTCTGGGGCCATCTCGGCGCGCTCGTGGGCCGTTTCGGAAGCCCTCTTGCAAGGGCGCTTTGGGGCGATGCCGGAGGCGTCCAGTGCCGTCTGCGGCCGCTTGTGTGGCCCGCGGAGGCGAGAAGCCCAAGACTCCATCCATCGTCGTAGGAGAACGAATGGTTTGGCCCTCCTGAGTCCCTCTCGGCGGTCCTCGTGGGGGCCTCTTGGGGGCGTCTGGGGGGGGGGGCCTCCTGAGGCCGCCGTGGGCCCATCGTCGCCCCTCGTGGAGCGCTCTTGAGCCGTCCTGGGGCCGCTTGGGCCTCTCTTGGGACGTCTTGGGGCTATCTTGAGCCGTCTTGGGGGCAGCTTCGGCCATCTTGGAATCCTTTGCGGCCGTCCTGAGGCCTCCTGGGCCGGAAAAAACACCAAAATCGGTGCGGTCCCCCTCCCCCCCGGACCGCCCCCCCTTGGGGCTAAAGCCCTGTGCAGAACTTCTCTCGCTAGCGCCCTTTCCGTCAACCTTGTCCGTTGTCCTGGAGGTTCTTTACTGTTTTCTGCCCCCCCCCCGGGCCGCACGCGTCGTCCGAAAGTCGTCCGTTTTGAAATTCCTGTCCAACGATCTTTTCGGCCTCCGAACGGCCAAAATGGCCTCCAGGACGGCATCTCAGACAGCCAAGACGAAACCAAAACGGCTCCACACGACACAAGACGGCTCAAGAGGCTCTGAAGACGGCCTCAAAACCATGAGGGCCCCAAAAGGATCCCGAGTCGGCCCAAGAGGACCCCAAGATCGCCCAATAGGCTCCCAAGAGAGTCCAAAGACGGCCCTAAAGCGCTCCAAGAGGACACCAAGACGGCCCAGAGAGGCCTCCAAGACAGCCTCCGAATGCGTCAGACGGGCCAGTCGCCTCCCCAAGACGGCTCAAGAGGCCCCTGGAGGCTCCCAAGAGGCCCGCAAGAGGCTCCCCGGGAGGCTTCCAGAAGGCCCCCAGGAGGCCTCAAGAGGGCCGCAAGAAGCTTTCTCCTGCTGGTCACCATTATCTCCCTCCCTCTCCTCCTCCTCCTCCTCCTCCTCCTCCTCCTCCTCCTCCTCCTCCTCCTCCTCCTCCTCATTCTCTTCATCCATTCCTTTTCCTTATAGTAACTTCTCTCTGTCGCACCCCCGAGGCCAGTTTGCAGGAGGGCCGGGCGTTTCGACCGAGACGTCCTCACCGCTTATGACCCTGAAGCTTAGACACTGGCAACAGCTTCACAGACGGATGGCGGGTAGTTTTCAACATGTGGCTCTCGCCTCAGCGCCGCGCAGTTTGGTTTAACATGTCTACAGGAGCTTCACAGCCGGAGAGCGTGTGGTTTTCAACATGTGGCTCTCGCCTCAGCGCCGCGCAAATTCGCTTTGAACATTTGCAGGAGTCTCACGGGTTGATTGCGGGCCGTTTTCAACATGTGGCTCTCGCCTTAGCGCCGCGCACATTCGTTTTTACAAATTGCAAGAGTGTCACGGATTGAGGGCGGCAGGCTCGTTTCCAAAATGTGGGTCTCGCCTTAGCGCCGCGCACATTCGTTCTTACAGGTTGCGCGAGTTTCGCGGATTCCCCTGGTCAACGTATCAGAAATGGTGTGTTGGACGGATGCACGATTATGAGGGTGCAACGGTTACGTTGACTCGCGGTGTCGAAGCCCCAGGAATGGCGTTCTGGCACGATTCATGATCATCAAGACGCAACAGTCAGGTTGATCCGTGGCGTTGGAACTCCGAGAACGATGGTTTGGCATGCTTCAGGGTCTTCAAACGGTTGTCTTCCAACGAGGCAGTTCCGTCAGTGGAAATGAACCGTTGTCGGGGCTTGTGAAGAGGGAGCTTGGAAGGAGGGTGGACTCCAACATCGTTGATGACTCTTGGGTTTACACTGATCCTCCTCCTC